ATTTATGTGAACAAAAATTCGCAACACACACACACACACACACACACACACACACACACACACACGTAAAAATTATAATATATATTTTTTTAAAAATACAATTAATAGCAGAGCCTGTTTTTTTCCTAATAGTATATTCATTCATGGATACATATATTAATTGAGGATGGGCAGAAGCTTCTCCATCACATTAAGAGATGTAGTTCTATTAAATTATTTTTAGAATTTACATTATATTTATACATTAAAATAATAGCTAAAATCAGGGAAAAATTTAAACACTTAAAATTGTTATGGTCATAAATTTGTTTATAGATTTTAACTCACATACATTAAGTATGTTGGAGGAAAAACTGATAGGATGGTCAATTAAAAGAACTTTAAGAATAAAAATATTATATAGCAGAATAAAATTCTTTGGGGGAAGTGGCTTAAAAGTACGAATTCAATCACAAAAATGTATAATTTCCAACTGTTATAGAAAGTCTGTTTATACATTTTTAAAAAATGGATGATGAATCCATTTCACTAGGGTTCAAATCACTACAGGGTTCTAAACCCACTGGATATATTTAAAAGCATGATAATTTTATTTTAAAATTGAAATGTTTATAACACACTGGTAACTGTACTGTTAATTATTTAGACTTAAGATAGAAAGTTTTAGATGGCAAGATATGTGAGAGAGTACAAAGTTTTCAAAATTCTTTTAAGGGAGAAGTGAACAAACAAACTTGAAGACCGTTGCTTCAGATAATGGAAACTCTCTATGAATTAAAAAGCCTTGGTGCTTTTAAAATGGCTATCCTAAGCACTCTTCAAGCAATACTTTCCCAAATGAACTGGATTTTCCATCCAATTACCAAATATAAATTCTAAAGTGCACATTAAATACATCTGCACAAACAAACCTGTTGAAAACACTTGGTGTAGGACTATGATCACGCTCCCTCTCTCTCTCTCTGGTGCGTTCTCTTTCTCTGTCCCGATCACGATCTCGCTCTCGGTCTCTGTCTCTATCTCTGTCTCGGTCTTTCTCTCTTCTTGCATAATAGTCCCATTGCTTGCTGGTGTCCACAAGACTAGGCCATGAAGGAGCCGAACCAGGAAGGTGGGGAAAGGCAACTAAAGGAAAAAAAAAACCAAAAAAACATAACAGTTAAAAAACAGAAGTTATAGTACTTAAACAAGAGAAAACAACAAAAAAGTACTGAAAAATAAGACAAAACTCCCACCAAAAGTGCTTCATTAGATTACAATAAAAACTTATTTAATTACTAGAGAAGAGACACGACATATGGTGAATACCTACAGTTTGGGGAACTATTCAGAAACAAACCTTGAAGACCTAACATATAAAGACTCTTCATTTTTCAAGGTAAGTAGGAACCAGAATTAGATATATCACTAACTTCCCAATATCAAAAATATAAAACAGAATATATTAGGACACCTTCAAAGTGTTGAGAGAAAATAATTGTCAACTTAGAAATACATACTAAATTATATTTCAAGAAAAAACAAAGGCATTCATAAACAAAAAGAACAAATGTTATAACCAAAAGACTTCGCCAAAAGAAATTCTATAAGATATATGCATAATACATTTTAACAGTAACTACTTAAAAAAAAAAAATAGAATGCATAGTTTCAAAACAACGTAGGGGGAAAAATGTTTTAAAAAAATTACCTGAAAAACTTAGTCAATTCAAAAAAGATTTGGAAGAGATGGGGGTAGGGTAGACAAGCTTATTAGCTCAATAATCAGAATAATACAAAAGATACTGAATTTCTCAGTTATATAACTGAAAATTTTTTATTTGAATTTTGAAAAATTCTGACTCTGAATATAGGAGACATAAAAACACATAAAATGGTTGAAAGAAAAAGGATGGGGGAAAAAAAGAAAATACTGATACCATTCCCCACACCCAAATCTCCATGAATAGCTAGCTATATTAATGTCAAAGCAGACTCATACCAAAAAGATTACCTGGGAAAGAAAGGATAATTACATGAAGATGAAAGAGGGAAACTCACCAAGAAGGAAGAACAAATTAAACTTTGAGGTATCTAACAACATAGCCTTAAGTTTTAGAAAGGAAGAATAGGAATACAAGTAAAAATAGAAAAATCCACCATGATCATAGGAGATTAACATATTTCTCTCCATTACTGATACTTTAAACAGAAAAATAAACCACTATAGATATAGAAGATTTGAGCAAAATATTTAACAAGGTGAATTTAATAAACATAACACAGAATATTGGCCAGAACAGTTAAAGAACACTAATTCCTCTCAGGCACATATGAAATATTCATTAAAATATACTATGTACTCTCAGAGGATAAATATAATAAACATTGTTTTCTGACCACTATGCAATTTAAATCAGAAGTAAAAATGTAAAGTTATAGGACAATAATCTCCATATAATTCAAATTAAAAACACATTTCGGATAACTCATGGGTCAAAAAATTTTTTTAATCCTTCGAGAATTAAACATAAACCAAAGTATGATGTATCAGAAGTCTAGGGATGCAAACTGTTCTGGATGGAAATTTAATTTAAAAAAACACTACATTAGAGAAAATGAAAAGTTAATGATCTAAGCTTCCAATTTAAGAATTTAGAAAAGCGCAGAATAATCTAACAAAAGGAAGATAATAAAAAGTAGAAATCAAATAGAAACCTATTATATAATTAGAAAAGTAGAAAGCTGGTTTTTGAAGACTAGACAAAAAATGACAATCTCTGACAAGATTACAAAAGAGACCACATAAACAATATGAGAACCAAAAAGGGACAACTTCAGGTGTTGCAGAGATTAAACAATGCAAAGAATATTACGTACTTTATACTAACACATTTAAAAACTTAGCTGAAATAGACTAATTATAGAATAAATAAGTGCATGAATGAATAAATAACAAACAGAAGTCACTCGAATAAAAAATCTTAAATAGTCCCATAACTATTAAAGACATTAAAAAAGTAATTAAAAACCTTCCACAAGACCAGATGCCTTTTACAGGCAAGTTTTACTAACTTATAAGGCACAGACTATTCTAATATTATACAAACTTCCAGAGAATAGGAAAAGATAGATCATCCCCTAACTTACTCCCTGTGGGCTGTATAACATTAATACCGAAACCAGTTAAGGATAGTACAAAATATAGAAAGATCATAGGCCAATCGTACATAGTAACTCAGCTGTCAAAATCCTAGATAAATCAGTATTTAAAAAAAAAATAAGTGACTGATCATGACCTGAAGAGACTTAACAAATTATAGTGAAAGTTAACAGGTAATTGGTTACACGATCTCTCTCTCTCTCCCTCCCCTTTCCTCCCCTCCCTGTCTCTCTTTCTATACGTATAGATATAAATACATATCAATACATGTATCTGTATTTATTTATATATCAATACATGTATCTGTATTTATTTCTAAATACAAGCAAATACAAACAGAACACAGAGTTCAAATGAACTACCATTTACAACAAAAACATTAGGTACCTCTGACTAAATCTAACCAAAGATGTGTAAGAAGTGTATGTAGATGATTTTAATACTTAATTGAAACACACTGAAAAACTACTCCCTAAATGAAGAGAAAGTCTTGTTCATAGATGAATTTATGTTGTAAGGTATGAATTTCACACAAACTGATCTAAAGCATCAATTGAATTTCAATACTGCCATGTAAGAGCAAGGACTGCATGGTTTCAAATACTGGAGCCAGGCTGCATGGTTTCAAATACTGACTCTGCCACTTAGTGTGTACTGGGGAAAATTACTTAATCTAGCTGTTCTTTGATTTTCTCATCCATAAAATGGGGATAACAACAGTATGCCTACTTTATAAGGCTGGCAGGATTCCATGAGTTAATAGTGTCATACAGTAAACATAATAGAAAATTTAGTTATTAATCAGAATCTCAACAGTTTTTCTTGGAACTTACAAAGTTGATTCTAAAATAGATATGTAAGTGCAATGGCCCAAGAATACTTCTGAAGCAGAATAAGGTAGATTTTACTGAACCAGATATCAGATTTACTATAAAACTCATATTTAAGATAGTATGGCATTATTAACATAAGGACAGTTAAATTAACTGAATGAATAACCTAGAAAGCAGAAGAATGGATGCATGCTTAGATGGAAACTTGATACATGAATGGAGGTGATACCGTAGATCCCTAAGGAAGGATAGACTATTCAACAAATGACACTGGGACAATTATACCTTTACTTTAAAACAGTCAAAAACAATTTTCCAGATGGCTTAAGAATATACACATGAAAAAATGTGAAAACATTTTGGGAAAAATATGCATTGGAGAATATTTTTTTTATACTCAAGGTTGAGAAAGTCATGGTCCAACTATGAACCCAATTAAAATGTGGTATGACTTTATACAGTTGACGTGTACAATGGCAATTTTAATATATTTGCCATAGAAACTCTCTCCTTTGAGTGGTCTGAGTATTTTAATTATCTCTATAATACACAATATTTACATAGTCATAACAATGTTAATACAGTTTACTGTTTAGCTTTCAGAATAAAAAACTTGTCAGGGCACAGATAACTTTGGTTACAGGACAGAATATAAATATTATTAGTAGGAGTGTAGCTGAGCAAAGTTGGGAGGCAGAAAGGGAGAAGAGGTGAAAGCTTAGAAAGGTGCACATTAGTAGTGACTGATGGTTCATGAAAAAGAGGGCCGGTATATAAAAAGGAAAAAAAATGATATAATTTCATTGGTGGGGGAAAAGAGAGGGGCAGAGATAATAATGAGCAAATACACATCTATCATTACCGAAAGTTATATAAATCAAAAAACAGGGTGATAAGCCTATGTAGAAAGGCCATGTAGACCATCAGAACTAAAAATGCTTACAGTTCTTCCATATTCCTGTAAAAGATTACTTTTTAACTAGGTCTTATTTTACAAGCACAATCTTATTATTAATATGCACATCAAGAAAAATTAATAGTTCCATGTATAATATTTGAGGTTAATTTACAAAATTCTAAAATAAATTTTAAAACAAAAGTAAAACAGAATTACCAGAAAAGTTTATTATTATTATTATTATTATTATTATTATTATTTATACCTACAGCACCTGGTCTGGCTAGGTGGTCTCCCATCCAAGTACTAACCAGGCCCGACCCTGCTTAGCTTCCGAGATCAGACATTGGGCTTGTTCAGAGTGGCAGGGCCCCAGACCATGGACTATGGCTCCACTGGGGCACGAACCCAGGACCTTTTCCATGTAAAGCAGACGTGCTAACTGCTACACTATGGAACCACATCCAAAGAAGCTTTATTTACCATTTTCATTCCAAGGCTTTGTTTGACTACAATGAGAAAACTCCTAAATTTCTTCGATTTAATTCTTGCAATATGCTTTATAATTGTTATTATTTTAAGAGTCCTTCATTTAAAAAGATGTTTCAGAGAGGAGCTGGGGTGGTAAACAAGGAGTAGAAAACTCTTGCTTTTGGCATTAAAATTTTGCATATATTACTTTGAGAAAAAGTTAAATGTTTAATAAGCATTTAAAAAATAAAATCTTTCACAAGAAAACTATGTAATCTCAAAAATGAAGACTATTCTTTCTGATGTGGGCTAGTCCTCATATTCATCTGTATCAAACAAATACATAAGGAATTTATTCACAAAGGAGAAAGTGACAAGTGCAATAAAAGAGATAAAAATAAAATTTTAATTAATTTGACAAGCAATACCTATCAAGTATTTACATATTAGAGGCACTGTCCCAAGCACTTTATATTCAAACTTTATTTTACAGACGAGGAAAATGACTTAGGTTACTTAACTTATCCAAAGTTACTAAGATAAGAGGGACCCAGGACCCAAACTCAGGCTAACTGCAGAGCCTATGCTTTAACAATTATTCTATTCTGCCTCACAGTGTAAAAAAGGGAGGTAACTTAGAGCTTGTTGGAGATAGTGGGGATGGTCATAAAAATAAGAGCTAATATTTGAGTATTTATTAAATGGCAGGACTAATGTACTTCAATGTATTCTCATTGAAAGTCACATTATGAGAAAGAATTATGCTCTCCATTTAATAATTGAAGATCTACAAAAGTCACACAAATAATGAGAGAGCAAAGCAGGGATTCAAACCAAGGGGTATAATTTTCTTGGAGCCCAGCATAAAAAAATAAAAAGGTGGTATAAATCAACGAAACAAGTCATTCAACAGAAAGACTACCTTTTGATGTGAATGAACAGTATATATAGCTTTGAATACGAAGGTCTGAAGGATAGTAAAACTCCGATATAGATACTCAGAAGGTTAAGTGGAGGTATATGATTGACACTTACAGCTGATTTATCACCAAGACTTATAAATTCTACCGCATAAGCCTTTGGAACCATTCAATTTTCTCTATCCTCAATGGTACTACCTGAATATAGGACACCATAAGTACATTCTGAGAAATGCATAATTAGGCAATTTCCTCACTGTGCAAATGTCAGAGTACACTTATACAAACACACATGGTACAGCCTACTACACACCTAGGCCACCGGGGATAGCCTATTGTTCCTAGGCTACAGGTCTGTACAGCATGTTACTGTATAAAACAACATGAGACTAGTCTAGCATAAGTGAAAATGATGCAATCAAGAGATGAAGTAAGCATGATATATGAAGCTGCTGCTGACGTAAGATAGCATACTGTTTAGACAGCAAACTTTTTTTTTCATAGAGTACATCCTAAAATAATGATTAAAAAGCATAGTAAATACATAAACCAGTAACATAGTCCTTATTATCAAGTATCATGTACTGTACATAATTGTATGTGATATACTTTTATATGACTGACAGTGCAGTAGGTGTGTTTACAACACTATAACCACAAACATGTAATGTATTGCAATGACTATAACGTGACGAGGTAATAGAAATTTTTCAGCTCTCTTATAATTGTATGGGACCATAGTCACATATGCAGTCATTATGCAGCTTCTCATTCTCCCAGCTGGGCATCTCTGCCATTCCCACCTTTCTACCCACTCTACAAATCCACAATTTCCTCACGGTAGGTAGCCAGAATGGACCTTTTTCCAATGTAAATCTAGCAAATTTCACAACTCAGCATAAAAGTAGACTGTTCCTCACAGTCCTCTGAATAAGGAAGAAATTCTATATAGCATGGCCATAAGGCTCTGCATGATCTTATCTCATTTCTAGAAACTCATCATGCATTCTTTATACTCCAGCCACACCACACTTCTTTCAGTTCATAAAGGCTACCATGTTCTCACCCATCCCCACGTCTCTGAACATGATGTGAACTCCCAAGTCACATCATCTATGGCTCCACCTCTCTGGAGTGGGAAACTCCTGCACTATGCTCCCATGACACCCTCTCTTCTGTAACCTGGCTGTTTTCTCACTAGACTATAGATTTGATAAGGGCAAATGTATGTCTATGTCCAGTTTACTGTACCCCTAAAACCTAGTACAATGCACAGCACTTTTAAGATAGATAGATAGAAAGATGATTGATTGATAGATATAGATAGATAGATAGATAGATAGATAGATAGATAGATAGATAGATGATAGATAGATAGATGATCAAGAAATCTAAGCAAAAAGTGGTATCAGAAACCCTTAGAATGGATAACACTGTCAAGAGTGAAAAGATGACCTTGCCAAATGATTTAGAAGAAAAGATAAACCAGTAAGGGGGAAAGATGAAACAAGTCTAGTTGGATGCTATGAGTCAAGAAACAGAAAGATTATGGTCAATAAAGACTGAGACAACTTGGTGACAAATCCTAAACCCTTTCAGGAAAAGACATGGTATAAAAATTCATGTTGTATCACCATTTATTAACTTTTAAAACTAAAGCTGATAAGGAAATAAAAATTGTTCTGTTAAGTAACCTGGAATATATGTAAGACCTAGTTACTCCTTTAGTTAATATTTTTTCATTGTTCTGTAAGATAGTATTTCAAACCATGAAATATGTTTTTATTGCTATAAAAATATTTAAGTACTGATTCAAATTGAATCTGGTAACTAAAAATAATACTTACCATTGCCATACGGAAAAGCACGTGCAGAACGACTATCATAACCAGAGGAATGCCCACTGTTGAAGAAAAATGTATTTTTATGTGTTGCAAATTAAGTTCTGAATTTTGATAGTTTGGTGCAAAAGCAAAACATAAAGGCAGAATTATGACTTTTAATTAACCACAATATAATAATGTTTTAATTGTGTAATTTTACTTTCTAGTACTAAAAACATGGGCTTTTTAACCTTCCAAAATATTAAACCTAACACCCACTTGTAAATAAAAATATAGCCTGTTAATACTATATTATGCATATCACTATTTAACATGAATAATTCAAGGAATTCAGTTTCACTCATAAGATAACAGAGAAACTGAAGCTAACAGAATATTTGAGACTTGGTTAAAATTCAATTTTAAAAAACTGGTTTTAATGGTTATAAATCAGAAATTCAGCCACATTGAAAGGATCAAAAAATACTTAACATTTGATCGAGAAAACAAACATGTTTAACAAGGACTTAATAAATAAAATCCTCATGTTCTCACAATTCATACTTTGCTGAGTTTTACCATTTTCTTTGAAAATCATATGTATGGTTTGATGCTACAGATGTAAGGTTCTCACAATTTGTCTTTATAAAACTTGAAACACTTTTTCAGAAATGTACGACTTTTACAGAGTTCATTCACCACTTGAGAGGAAATAATAATAGCCACCATTTATCAGTGATTTCCATCTGCCAAGAATTGTGCAGATGATTTATACTCACTTATTTTAATCTTTCCAATTATATCAACCTCATTTGGTAAAGAAGAAACTGAGTCTGAAACTGAGTTATGAACCATGCCTAGCAGCACAAAGCTGGAAAATCTGAACCAGTCCTGTACAATTCTGAAGATGTGTGTTGTTAAACACCATACTGCCATCCATGAGGTAAATATTCTTTGGTACAGCATTCTAACTAACATAAACCATAAATGCAGGATATAAAAATAAGGTTACTGCCATGCAGTAACCAATCCACCTTTGTGGAAGCTGAGTTGCCGCAGGGTAGCAAAGAATAAGGCAGCTTTTCTTTACTTTGGTCCCTGATAATAGCTATCCTTACCTAATCCTAAAACAGACATGCATTATTCATGATGACCAGATATCTGACTACAGCAAAGTTTTTACCAATTTTGGAGTTTCTTTAATCAGCATGTCATAAGTCAAAGCAAGATATTTCAAAATACTATCATTTCGTTTTCCTTCTCCTGTTTTGTTATCAGACTGTATGTCCAACATCTTATATAAAAGTAACACAGATCTAGGTTTATGCATTAAAAGACAAGTACTACTGTTTATAAAATTAAATATCTGAAAATATTACCAATATATGTATATGATTCTTCTGTCAAAGCCTATCAATGATAAAAAATTTATAGTATCCACACTGATTTACCTTTCTATTGTTGGTATAAGAGATGGAGGTGGAGCGCCTGGTGGAGGAGGAAAACCTGAAACATTCAATCATAAGACAAAAAAAGTTAAGAGAATGTACATTTTATGTCAAGAGTGAAACAAAGTTGCTGCATATCACTAAATTTCTCAGGGGATATAACATGCTTCTCTATGTTATAATGGACAGAAAAAAATGAAGCTTAATCTTATAAACAGATTTTAGAGTAATAAAACTTTAAATGAACAGTCTGGTCTAATACACAGAGCACAAACTGGGAGTCAGGACACCCGGTCTTATTTTCAGCACCACACACAGCCCATTTTGTGAGTATGAGAAAGTTAATCTCAATGCCTTACCTTTTCCATACATAAAACAGTGGTAGTGTTGTCACCATATATGTTATACTTGAAATATTTTAGAAGAAAAGCAAGTAAAATAACATTTACCTCTTTCAAAAAATATTTTGAGTTTTAGATGTATAGAAATTTCCTTAAAATGTATAATTCATAAATAAAATCTTACCAGTAGGTATAATAAATGCTTAAGGCTGAGAACATCCATCATAAAATGTTTTAAATAGCACAACCCTAAAAATGTGTTTTACAAAGAAAGGCACATATGTATAGTTTTGCATTAGTTTGGAAAGAAAATAATTTGCACCTTTGTATCATGAATCTGCATTCTCAATAATTTGCAATACCTAAATGAAATACCACAGAATATGGCTAAAAGAGACCATAACAATCTACTCTACACTTTCAAATTGATAGGCAATAAAGCATCCCAACAAAAGACTAAGATTCCACAACTTACGATACTAATTCCTTATACCAATCCCTTCCAAATTTTAACAACTCTCACTATTAGGAAATGTATTAACTTATATAATTTAAATCTCTCTCACTACAATTCGTATGTCGTCCTGAATGAGGACAAGAAGCAATCTATTGTCATATTCTCTGACACTTTCTACACATTTGAAAGCACTTCCACTAGGCCTCCTTTTTAATATTCTATGTAAAAATAAATCCCAGTTCTCTTAACCCTTCTCAAAAGTCCATTTAAATCAATTTTTGGCCCTACTTCTAGTTGTTTTAAATTCACCATGCTCATCTTCACTGTATCCAGTTTTAGGAGTTACAAGTTCTCCATTAAACATCTTAGAAGTGTACAGTTTAGCAATTACCACATTAGTCCTAGAGTCCACAATCCTATTTTATACAGTCTTACAATCACATTTCTTTTTAAACTAAAAAGACACACCAATGACTCCTTTATGACTTTTCCTAGTAAAGCTTCTTCAGTCACATTCATACGCAATCAGTGACTATCCCATATCTATACATATATACTTGTCTATGCTATCTAAACTTCACTATTTGTTTATTGAGGTCATTTTGAATTTAGACCCACCCTTCCAAGCACTGTCATTTCTTATTCTCTTTATACTCCTTGGCTTTTAATAGTGAACTCAGTAAACATACTTACTATCATATTTGTATCACACTACCAAAAAAAAAAAAAAACTGAAAAAATGTAAAAAACAACACTAGACCGCGTATAAAAACTATTGATCATACCATTACAACAATGAACAAATTAATTACCACCCTAAGAACAACCATCTGACCAGTTGTCAATCTACCTAATTGAGTAGTTCAGAACATTATGCCAGCAGAGTATAAATATAAGAAACCATGATAAAGTCAAAATAAATGCTCTTTCTCTTCTCTTGCAGTCACTTTATCATATAAAAAAAATCCTTGTCTGAAAAAACATTTTTAATAAAAATTTTATTTTACATCCTATACTGTTTTTCTTCAACAAATTGATATGGTAAGAATTTTCTCAGAACCTCTTTTTCTACAGAAATGGGTAAGACAGGTATAAGAAAACTGAATATCTTAATCAAAACTGGAATGAAGCAAAGGCAGAGCTGAAAATAGGACCTTGAAATCCCAATAACCTATTCCATATTCTAACCATATCAACACTGTCCCTCCTGTAACTAGGCTTGAAATTTCATGTTTATTAACAATGATGGAGAAAACATGGAAAAAGTTTTACCTGGAGGTGGTACAGTTATTGGAATACCTAAAAAACAAGTGATGAAATTTAATATAGTAATTGGATTTTATAACCTGTTATGTATTTATGCCATCACCAAAGAAAACCCTTTGAAATAAAACCCCTTGCCTCATTTTCCTGGCTTATTAACTCAAGAGAAGCATCCTGTTTTCTTGCAGAGGACCAACAATTCGAGTATAACATCTGACTTCCTGATGAAAACCCAGTCTAACAACTTGATAACAGGTTTCCCCAAGTCGTAATCACAAACAAAGTAAGACATCAATTAAAAAAGCACACTTGTGCATACAAAATATCAAACTGCATGAAATTAACACTAAGTTTGATAATCTGATTTTATTATTTTAACATTTTAATAGGTAAATTGATCAATGGGCTCTTTAATACTATAAGTGGTACAAGGTAACTCTGAAGATAATGGATATTCACTTTGTAAAGTTTTGTGGGACATTCAAGTGTTGATTTGGATTGTTTGTTGTCAACAGGAGTGGAGAAAGGTTATTATTTCCCTTGTTTTGTGGGAGTAGAGAAAGGGGGCACAGCCAATGCATACATATATGCCCCTGGGGTACGTTAAGATAAACATGGAAGATTTATTTCTGTAAGCGTCAGAAAACACTTGAGTGACTCTCACTCATTTGCACACATTATAAACTTTAATAAATTATGTACAAACATTTGCAATTTACATCGGTCAAATGTGCCCTTAAATCCTAATGTAAAACTTATGTGGCATGCAAATAGTAACTACCTTTTCTTTGAAGAAAAATGACATTACTAAATAGAAAAATAGAAAAAAATTTAAAACTTTTTCATGATATTTTTATACCATAAATAACTTCAACACAGCTGAAATGATTTACTAAATCCTTTCATAAAAACTGAGTCAATACTAGTCCAAAAGAGGAAAAATAATCTAATTCATTAACTAAATGTATGTGAAAAAATAATGGAAACAGAATCGCTTTAAAATGTTTTCTTGTGAATGGAAACATCTGCTTATAATTTATTTAAAAATTTTCTCTGCACATAATAGGTTAATATAAAAAGATATTTAGGCAACAAGTGGCCTTAAAATGGAGAATGAAGCACCTGATTGAACCATTCATGCAATAAAAGGATATGCTAAACTTATAAAACCAACAAGGATGAAAAAGATACGTAAAGTAGCCATCATGTTTCAAAAATCATTAAGCCTCCATAAGTCTACTAAACTGATCTACACTTAATGGCAAGTCTCATCCATCCTCAGGTTACCTCGCTACTTCCTAAATTACTAGGCTAAACGAATCCAACAAACAATACAATTCAGCAAAATCCGAGACACCAAACTAAATGGGAAAAATAAGAAAGGCAGAGATATTAAGTGTTTTTAATATTTACTATTACCTGATTTTCTTTAGAATATTATAGGTTTTTTTTTAGAACACTACTGAACTTCACTATGTGACTACATTTAAACACTACTTTTCACATTTAAATACATGGTTGTTTAAGTGTGTAACATAAAGAACTATACCAAATTTGGCAACCCATTCCGTAATCCTAATAACTTCACCTAAATGAATACAAGAGCAGCATGAACCATTTCAGTTAATGCTCACTACAGCCTGCTAAAATGTGAATTTGTGCAAAATAACTAACAAATTACTAGTAATCCCTCTCAAAATTTAGTCCTCAAGAACTTTCACAAAGCATAATGAAAAGACATTAACCAAATTATTAACTATGCTATAAAGGCGGTTAAAATTAGTCTGCTTTTAATTTGAATCTTACTACAATATCGCACAGAATATTTTTTAAAAATCAACTGGAAAGAATTAAGAACACAAAGAAAAATCACGAGATGCCTTTCAAATCAGTATCTGCACATCAGAGAGTTATAAGGAGAACTAGAAAGGGCCCTTCTTGTGAGACCTCTATTTCACCTAGATATTTCAATGCAAATCTTCACTGGTAAACATTCATCAAAACTCGAGTACAGAGTTGATGAAACACTGTACAATCAATTTTTTGACAATTATCAAATGTAAAGCGTGAGGGTAAGGGGATTTGAAATCCTATTTTGAGGACTGAAGGAACTGAAGCAAAGAAATAGAAAGGCAGCAGCCCTGTAAAACATCGTATTAAAATAAATTTAAATGTATTTTTTAAATTCTCACAAAATTAAGAGGCTCTGTACTCAATAAAAAAAGTGAATAATAATCTATGAACTCATTCTCAATGTACCCCATCATTACTTTGTATAACTAAGGCAAAAAAGAGTTATGTGATAGGCAGCCTCTAACATGGCTTCCAATGATCCCTGCTTCAGGTATTTATGCCTTTTTATACCTCCCTTTGAGTGTGGGCTGGATATAATAACTTGTTTCTAACAAACAAAATACAGCAAAAATGATGAAATGTCACTTCCATGACTAGGTTTCAAAAGACAGCGACTTCTATTTTCTGGCATCCTCAACTGTCTTCTCTGCATTCATGCTTCGATGAAGCAAGTTGCCATGTTGTAAAAGAAGTGAATCTTTTCAAAAAAAGAGGTGAATGAGCTTAAAGATAATCTTTTCTCAGTCAAGTCTGAGACGGCCATCTTAAATTCTGCAAGAAACCTTGAGGAGAGGATTCAGCTAAGTTGTTCCCACCTTCCTAACACAGAAAAACTGTTCAATAATAAATACATTGTTTTAAGCCACTACATTCTAGAGTTATTTGTTATGCAACAATAGCTAACCAATATATATAACCACCTACTGTTTCTCTATGCAAATGAGAAAAAAAAGCATGGCACAATGTGAACTTCACTTCGTATTTCTCACTGTTAACTCCTGAATTTCAACAGCACTATTTTGTTACAAATAAATGAACCCGGTTACTTTCTTTAAGTCTCAATGATTCCTACTTCAAGTTCATACGTAAGTTCTGCACAAAGAAAATGAGTACAAAAAGTCAAGATTTATAAAAAGCATTAAATATCACCCTCCACCACATAGTTTTCTATGTATCAGTATTCTTAAAACTAAATATTCACATGTATATGCCCTATCATCTCTTAAAAAAAAAAAACCATGGGATACAGAATACTACAAAACTACTTAATAATTTAAATAAAAATTAATTTTAAGGTACAAAAAATGGAAATAATTTCAAATTTTAAAAAAATGTGTTAAAAAATGCTATGCTCACAAAACTTAAAAGTAACAAAGCGTTACAAGCATAGTCCATACCTAATAAGTAAAAAAGATGATTCTGTGTTAACTATAAATGAAACTATTTTATCCTTGTTAGGATCTCTTAATCTTCTAGCTTATAAAATTATCTACAAGCTACAGAAAATAAAAATTATGTGAGACAAATAAAAACATCTCTGATAGAAATATCAATATTTTTACAAAGAACTTATAAAGGAATTGATCTCTATAAGCTCACATATAATCACAAAATGATTGAAGGAGTCAAACAAAAGGTAAATATTAAATTATAATTAAATTCTACAAAATATAGCATCTATGGTACATTAAAAATATAACTATTAAAGGGAATATCTATGGGAAGAAAAGATTCAAAAATCAACATCCTAAAGCTCTTAATTTCTATTAAACTTACATATAAATTATTTTAATTGTGCCAGAATATACTACTTACTACAGATAATTAGCATTATTCCCTATTTTGAGTTTATTAAAAATACTGAGACTTTTTTTTAATATAGAAAAATACAACATAAGAGAAAATGAGTATAGTTCTCAAAAGCTTCAAGGAATTCTTTTGCAGAGGTACTTCCATAAAACATATTTTTGAAATGCTTACTTTTTGGCAAATACTGTCAGTTAATAAGCAGATTGGTTATGTAAGACCAAAATCTTCATGGAAGTATAAAATCAGCTTAATAAATGTTATATTCATGAAACAGCGTCTCCATTAAAGGGACAAAATTATACTTTCTCCAGGGTGCTAATAATATTCATCCAACATAGGTCGAGCTTCTGCCAAAGCAGCAGTTCTCAAAGTGTTACCTAGAGAATCCTGGAGGTCTTTAAGACCCTTTAGGAATCTAGACGGTCAAAACTACTTTCATAAAAATACAATTAGCCATTTTCACTCTCAGTCTCTAAAAAGTGTATAAGAAAATCTTCTAGAGGCTATGTGACATGTAAATTCATAAGAGATTTAATGCAGAAACAAATAGGAGAATCCAGCTTTTTTCTATTAAGCCACACAATAAAGAGATTTGCAAAACTGAAAACAATGCCACTCTTTACACTGTTTTTTATTCTGGAAAAATAAAGTTATTTTTCAAGAAAATGTTGTTTTAATGTTAACGTGTAATAGTTTTATGAGTATTTTTAAAACAACAAATATTTTAACTATAATAAAGATTTTAATTTCTCAGTTTTAATATCTAATACAAAAAAATAGATGAACACGCATAAATAAAAACCCTTTGGTGGCTGCTATTTTAAGAGTGTAAGAAGAGTCTGTGACCAAAAAGTTGAGAGCCACTGTGCTGGAACCAGGCTAACAGAAAAATAATCTACACATGGTAGGCCTTGGAAGAAGTGCAGAAAGACTCCAGATGTGAGCCACTTTTCTCCCTAAACCCAAGTAACACAGCTAACCGAAAATCAAGGTATTTAAAGAATAAACGAGATTTTCATGTTTATATAATTTATAGTACTAGATGACTAGTAAGACACTGACGTACTTGACAACAGTTTTTTAAGAAGGAATCTAATTCCTTCTAAAATGCAGAATCCTATGCATTCTGAAATCTAGATAAAGAGCTAAATCCTATTTCCAACCTTAAAAACAGATGACTTGTCTGTTTGGGCTACATCTCAGTAAAGCAAACAGCCTTTTTCAATGAAGAATTCTACTCCTGAGCTAGATTTCAATTATTCCCAAGACATATTAAGTCTTGTGAGCCTTAATACTGATCAATGTAACAAGAAATGAATTAAACCAAATATGATAAAATACGATTACACTAAAATAAATTAACTTTTAAAAGTCTAAATTAAAAGCCAACCAATAACATATAATATAGGTTGAACATAGTTTAAAAAATTTTTTACAATCATTATTTTAAAAACAAAATAAGCCAGACACAAAAGAACAAAATACTTGAAAGATTCAACTTATATGAGGCACCCAGAATAGGCAAATTCATAGAGAAAGAAAGAATAGAGGCTACCAGGGGCTTGGGTAAACGGAAAGGGATTGTTGATTAATGAGTATACAGTTTGTTATAGACGATGAAAAAGTTTTAGTATAGATCTAAGTGATGGTTACACAACACTGTGAATGTTATTTAATGCTACTGAACTGTATATTTACAAATGGTTAAAATATACCTTTGTTAGATATATCTTATCTTACCACAATAAAAAAAATTTCAACTACTCCAATTTTACATTTTTCTGCTAATAAACAATTATTTTAAAACTAGATTTATTTAGTACAGACTTAACACAAATCAGGCAAACAGCAAAACTTCAGTTAACTAGATTTTTTTAAAAAAATCTGATTCCTGCTTTTTACAACCTCCCTGACTTCCCTGCCCACAAATATATATGCATGCATTTCAACAAAGAAATACTTAAAAAGAAAGAAAGAAGCTTTTAAGACATGTTATTGTTATCCAATAACTTTCTTCATACAAGTAATAATTCCCTTCAACACAGTTAGTAAAATAGGCTTTCTAGCAAAACCGCCTGGGTTAAAATTCTGGTTCTGCTACTTTTCTAGCTATTATTTAAACTCCTTAAACCCCAGTTTCCTCATCTGTAACATGATAATAATCTCTACTTCAGATGTTGTCGAGAATAAAATTGAGTTAATACATGAAGTGTACTCAGAACCTTGCCTTCGATAGTAAGCATTCAATAAATACGAGCTATTATTACTCAATAAAAACATAAAACCACGCTAATATATTTCCAAAAAAAAATTCATAGCAACTATTTTCTGGTTCACTAAAGAATGAAAATAAGAAGTTTTCTAAAAATTAAGGAAGATCTTGAATAATCAGTGTTTGTTTTCAAGCTGCTATTAGTATGGCAGCAAAGAACAGATTTAAATACTTTACCACTTAAAAAAATCCAAGCCTTGATATTAATTTAGGACCAGAGGTCCATTAAATGTTTGCTGCACTCTCCAATACAAAACCTCCTCTACTTTTCATACAAATCTATTGTGACCAGAAATATTTTGTCCTCTGTTGCTAACAAGGATTCATGCTGTTTATAGAATGTGTGTTTGAGGGAGAGGAAGCAATATACCCCGCCTCTCCTGTCAACTATTTGTCAGTTGAATGAGTGTTGTTCTCTTTCACCTCATCACTGCTAAGGAGTTAACTACTTATGCAATGAGCCAACTACAGAGTTAACTATAAATTTTATCCTCCAAAACAGGGCATTTCTGAGAGTAACAATAATTACGCTGAGACAAAGGTATGAAGTAGGACTATTCTAGGCAAATCTGCACATATGATCACCCTATTTATTAAAAAATGGTAGCATCCCAAAGTATGGGCAGGTCATTACATATTTGTTCCATCATATACAGGACTATAGTTTTAAAAATTTATGTATAAACATTCTCAACTTATGCAAATGTTTGAAAGCTAATGTTAACAAAGACTATTAAAATATGTTTATGTTAATTCTCAAAAGATTTTCTTCCTTTTAGTATTTCTCAAGAAAGCAAAAAGAAAACCCAAGGTTTCCCTAAGAAAAATGTTTCCTTATTAAGGCAATTCTTACACACTCCTGAGTCACAGCTTGCTTTCATCAGCTGCTTATGATTCTTGAGGTGATCTAAATTACAGCAAACTCAATGGCACATACTGTAATCATGTGGTTCTACAGTAACTGAAAATGTGGCTTTAATCAAGGGTAACACTCAGTTGGTAAGTATCTATGCAGCCATATTGTCGTTTAAAGCCAGTGCCCATTCTGATTGATAAGTGCCTTGTGACTGTATCAACTGCCACTCTGAAAATCTCCGTGTTATGTATGCATAATATGTTTTTAACTCAATTAGCTAGCATATTTAGTCAAGTGATTAGCATGGTGGGGAAACAGAAATACACAGTCTATATTCGCTCTAACAGCTCACAATCTAGTAAAAATGAGAAGTCAGTTAGCCTCAACTTATAAATATTTGGTTTTAATATGATTTGGTATCTTCCCCCACCTCATCCCAGCAAATATACCATGGTTACATACTGCTTAAACCAGCATTAGAATTCCTCTGAATTTGTATTCCTTAAATGCTGACAGGACATGGATATTAATCTAAAAATAAGAATCAATAGTCCTGCATAGGTATTTAAAATATAGAAAGCACTTAGTTGAAAATTAACATCACATAGCTTATACAACAGCTATGGCATTATATGTTACCATATAATGCCATATAATCTAAATGTTATTAAAAGATTTGTTATCCTTTTAAACGGAGATTATATAGCAAAGAAATGGGAGTAATTTTATCATTTTGAAAAGAGCTTACTTCTAGATAATGCCATTGTCTATCAGCAATATCTTCCAGAGCTACGAAATATTCTTTCTATACCAGTGAGGTATTTTTCCATCATTAATTCACATCACCTCTCTCTCATTTTAATAAACAAATAATGTTGAACTATATAAAATGTTAGCCGTCTGGGGATACACTATATTAGCTAGTAAATAAGAAAATTCTTTTAAATCACTTTTAGTACAGTACCTAGTAAAGTCTAAGATTACACAACAATCTAAAGTAAGAACTATAATCACATATATTGATCTTTTAGTCTCAGTAAATCAAATACATTCAAAATAAACTATTTCTACATTTTATCTTTTCAGAGGACAAAGAACTCATTCATGAATCACCGAAACCTTCCTTTTTCATTTAGTTAATTCTCACCATATTAAAGACCCAAGAATTATGGGTCCAATCGCAACTTCTGAACGATTTGTGTTTCAGAACAAAAAATTATTGTTGGAACAGAAGTTCATTGAACTTTAGAAATAAAACTGTCTGGAGTAAACACCTCTAACCTATCCAGTCTTCTCCTTTCTCTATTTTTGAGACAAGAGATTCTCTAAAGCCAGTTATTTTTCATATTAATTTTCTTATCACTTTTGAAGGTAGACTTTTAAAGGTAGAAGTGACAATGGAAGGAAATCAAAGGTGTTGTGGATGTAGGGCTGATGCAATAACTAGCATTTAAAGGCCCAGGATGACTAAGGGAATGACTATGGAGACATTTTATTTGCCTCTGTACTCAGATCATAAGTGGAACCTTAAAGACAGTTCTTTTGTAAATGTAGAGTGAACATGGCCCTTTAGTATAAATTGATTTTATACTAAATCAAATCTTAACATATATTACACATGTAATTCTAATTAGGACCAAAAGCTAATTTTTATCATTTATTACAGGCATTCTCTCTAGAAAAAGTAATTATTATCTCAATTGATTTTGTTAGTTTCATTAAAAATTGGTTAAGGGAGATAAATATTCAAAGAGTATTGGAAATAAAATTAACAAAGGTCACTAAACAAAGGGTTGGAAGTATAAAATTTGGGGAGGATCTATAAATTTTTTTCTATTGCCACTGATCTAGTTTTTAATAAATAATCAAAAGTGACTAAAAATTTACAGGAATTTTCTATCTCGTTTAAAAGAAGTTAAATACCAGGTACCTGGCACCCAGAAGCAGTCTCCTAGAAGGAAACCAATATATAAAGAAAGAAGATGACCAGACTGAGATTTTCATTTCAATCTCTTCACAGGAAATAATCTTTCTTTTTTACCTATTCTGATTCTAAAATTATCTTGCATGGTTTAAAATTAAATATGGATTTATATGTGCACAATTAGCAACTTTAGTTTGGAGAACACAATCATATTTTTGGATCACAATTTTAGTATCTGTATATTTTTCTCTATTTTAGTATGTCTCTTTGCTATGCTGAAATAGCAAGACATGTAAGTATCTGTTTCAGTGTGACTCTACTGAAGACTAATAATCAATTTCATATCTATATTTTTAATGTAATGCAATCAATGAAGATATTATTTTCACATATATTTTTTAATTCTTAAATTCCAAATAAAAGAAACACTCACAAGTTATTTTTCTTCCTCGAAATCAAATGTCTTATGTACTATTTACCTGGTGGTGGAATCAGAGGTGGAGCAGTGCTGACAGTTGGAGGAGGTGGAAGAAATGGTGGTGGCGGCAGGTGGGTGGGAGGAGCTCCCGGTGGGAAAAATGGAGGTGGTTTGCTAAAATTGTTGTCTACTTCAGTAGCAGATCTTTCAGAAAGAACCTAAAATCAGAGCATAATTTATTAAAAAGATGAATAAATGTTCTTATCTGAGATTAAACTCGGTAAATTAATTTCATTTAATCTAAGAAAGTAGAAAGTTTTATTCACATACATATATTTTGGGGAGGTGAGACTAATTTTTCTATCTGTGTGATCTGTGTATATATACATATATATACACAGATGTTAGTATACATTCACGCACATAGTCAAAGCCTAAGAAAAACTGAAACATAAAAAATTTTAATGGGAAATAAGTGATAAAAACATTCTAAACAAGAGACAAGCACTTTATAAATATAATGTACCAAGTATTATCTTTGTTACCCAACCAAGTTCAACTATTCAAATTAAAGCATTTGCAATTATTAGTCACAGATACTAGCATTAAGAAATTGACAAGGCAGCAGAACCAGATATTCATTGTACAAGAGCCTGTCATCACCAGTAAGTAAAGACAGTAAGGCATGAACTGACAAGTAACAGGCAGCCAGATATGTGACCCTAGTAACTTTAAGAACAAGGGTTTTATACTTGAAAAGTAATGTTTATGAAATAATGATTTTTGTGAACAGGTAAGAGACAGGCACCAAATTTACAGAAGAGTGGAACATAGAAATGTGGATTTTTGAAGAGCTCCCTGAGAGATTCTAATGTGCAAACAATGTTTGGGAAACATAGCAGAAACAGGAAACATAATATTATATATTTAGTTTATACCTCTGAAATCCTTGCTGGCTAAAGCATATCATTTAAACATATAATCCTTCCTTTAGTTAATTTTTCCTACATTTTTTGTAAAGCGTTATGTTGCTATTTTTTAAATTAAGGGACATAATTATTTTAAGAAATCACAGCATTTTAACGCTGGGGAAAAAGAGAGGACTATCTTCATTTTAGAAATAATTTACCTTTAAAGATGATAAAAAATATTTCATATGATTAACTCATTAAAAGTAATAAAAAACAGAAGACTTTGTAAATTTATTTAAGCAATCAGAAAAGGAAATAAATAAAAGTATGATCAAGCTAACAGCTGAAAATGTCAGTTGCAAAAGTTCTAACTTGAATTATCCAAGTTATTAATAAGTCATCTTTCATTCTTTCACTTGAAAATAAATCGACTTCCCTCAGAAATACCACATTAAATGTTGTAACCACGTAATAATAAAGCTATCACAAAGAAATTTTATGTCATATTTTTAAGAAAATGGGAAAATGCAAACGATAATTTCAAATGGGAAAAAAGGACTACACAAAAATATAATCATAATAGTATCCCATACTTGCTCAGTGATAAGAAAGATATGTACCAGAATGTTAACAGTGATGATAAAATTATCGAGGGTTTTATTTTCTTCTTTAAACTTTCCCCATATTTTCCTCCTTTTGTCCAGTGAAGTTTTATGTTATGTTTAAAGCACAGAAAAAGAAATCCTACTAAAAAAAGACTCAAAGGTTATCAATTCTAAATGGAAAAGCTTCTGTAATAAAAGTGATTGAGTCCACATTTTAAATCTCTTCATAGTACCTAACAACATAGCACTATAAATATTAAACAAATCAGAACATGCACATAATTTTTCAGTTAAAAAATAGCAATTTTTAAAATACTAAACCTGTATGTTGCTGTTTTCATTGGCCCGTCGCCTTCCTTCTACTCGGCTGATGGTTATAGTCTGACCAATAACATCAATTGCCCCAGGTAATCTCCTATAATAGAAAAATTGAATCAATTCAGTTTTGCCTAATTAGATGTTTGAAAAAGAATACAAACATTAGGTGAGAAATAAAATCTAAAACCATTTGCAATGCACTCTAACATAAAATCAGATTACAATACACACTGAAAAACTTTATTGCATTAGATCTCGCTACTTCGCACTGTCGTGAAAACTATTTTATTAGTAAGCTCGAACCAACACACCCAACGATGATCATAATGTTAAATTTAAGTACTTTTATAGTTTTTCGTCTAAATTTACTATTTTTTAATAGTATCCAAGTGGATTTATCTTTGTGGAACTGAATCAGGTAGCAAAAGCTGAACAAATGGAAATAAAATTTTTTGGCCATTGTAATTAGAACACATCACAGTACTATTACAGAAAATTTTAGAAATTCTTCAGAAAGGCTTAAAATGAAATATTCATTTTGATACACACAGGATATTTTCTTTAGTGATTTATTACAAGCTTTTGAAAGCATAAAAACGAAACCAGTTTTCAATTTCTGATAACTTGTCTTTAGATAGAAAAATTCAAATATTTAATGCCTGCCCCACCTCCAACTGTATTTACAATCCATTGAAGTATATGAGTAGATGGGAAATATTATGTCTACCACATATTATGTCTACCACAGAATAATGCTGCAAATTTAATAAGTTAAATTTAAAAAAAAAAAGCCATTTTGTATAGTTAAGGACTTTATAAAAGTATATACACTTAAGATACAAAAGTCATCTATAGGAATAGGTGATGAAAAATGGATGTAAATTAGATTAATTTCTCATCTATAATTCAGTTCTGAACAATTCTACCTTTAAAAGTTTATGAAAGTAAAACAATCCAAGTACCACAGATCCTTCCAGTCACCAGAGTTAAGTTCCTAAAATGCATAAAACAGCAGCTATCTCTATTGAATGCCTACATATTATACCCAAACCTCACAATAACCATTAACTCAAAAAAATTACTGTATACTTGTTAGAAATGACAAAGCTAAGGCCCAGAGCGACTGTCACAGACCTCAATAGTAATTAAATAGCAAAACTAACTTTCAAACCTGAGTCTGATCTAAAGTTTACAGACCTCTCTTTCCTTGAGCCACGCTGCCTTCCAGCATGATAACTGGCCTTTGAGAAATGTAAGACTTCTGGAAAATCAAGAATTGGTAACAGTCTGTCTCAAGAAAAGTTTGAAAAGCCCCATGGATTTATGCTCACAAAAAACAAAATAAAGACAGCCCTATAAAAAGTATATAATGACATTTGAAAGGTCTACACAGTCAAATCCCACTTAACATCTTGCCCACTTAAGACTTCTGTTCTCTCTATATAATACAATAATAAAAAAAAGTTCAAGCCTTTCTGAGTTTATGCCTAGGTCACTGACTTCCTAGTCCTCCTGATGATCTCAAAGACCAAGAGTGATTTTAGTTAAATTGTACCTTTCAATATAGCTGGGAAACTATCCTAACGTTCACGCATTAGAGAAATTCAAATACCTCTAACATAAGACAAATATTGCTCCAATTTTTTCTCTAAAATTTAAAATAATTATAAAGCTATGACCACTATAAACTTAATGTAAAAGCACATGCCGTCAGTCCTCTGATATATGCACACATCTCAGATTCCAACATCCTAAAAGATAACGGTGTATATTCTGAGGCCAGGATTTCCCTCACCATTTATTGCTATATAAACTTCATTGTAAAAAATCTTCATTTCTACTCTACTATTTCCTTTTCCATTCTTTTCTGTTCCCAATTTCTGGATTCTCCTCTCTCCATCTTTAAAAAAATTTTCCCATCAATTCTCGCAAATGTGTTTGGATTTGCAATTTGGATTGCAAATCTTCAAATTGTTAAAAGCAGCAAAAATTAAACCTAAATAAAATATTCTAATTTTGCGCTGGGGAAAAGCTTTCTAAGGACTTCTGCTTTCAAAAATTCTGGGGCATATGGGAGAACTCACTCCTTAAAGCTTATCTTAAATATGTTCAGAGAAATCTAATTATTTTGTTATCTTTCAATGGATTAATCACGAAAGATTCAAAATGGCAAGTACTATGCTTCTAAAAACATACAAATGAAAAACCAGCCTTAAAAAAATATGTATCTCTAGAGGGAGTCCAGAAATTTTTAATTCCTTACATTTTCATAAAAATAACACCTCCTTGCCCAGGCATTTTTACCATACAAATTAATTTACCTTAATCAGAAATGTGAAGGTTACCATTTTGTTTAGAAATATTTTATGACAGATATATAAGAATGTACCAAAGTAACAAAAAGCACTAATATTTAACACAGATGAATAATTAAACAATCCAATGTTATTCTGATGCCACATTATGGAAAACAATATTGAATCGTATTATTCCACAAGTTTTTGATGTAGCACTTTTTATTTCAATAGATACAAACATTTAGTAGCATGTCACTAAGGATCTCCTATAACTTCGATTTCCACATAGCACAGGTTTGATTAGGCTTACGAATTTGTTCTATTAGGCAGACAGCTAATACAGCTATCAAGATTCTCTTCTCTATTGGACAAAGTAATCTAGTAAAAAGCTGAGACAGAAACTAACCACACTGTTACCTAGTTTCATTAATCTACAGTTAATACAGGCAGTGAATGTTCACAGAGCCACTACCTTTCCTCCTAGCTCAGATGAATATAAAAAACTCTGATATTTTAATAAAATTGTATTTTGACGATTCCAATGTTCCAGAAAGGGTATGAGGGCTGCTTACAGACATACAACAGCAATTGTAAAAGTGACAAAATCAAAGCCAAGGGAAGAAAGACAAAAGGTTAGTTATTAATCTGTTGCCATAAATTTATCTCTGAGCTTATTTTTAAAAGCCAAAATAAAGGACATCATTAATACCAAAAATATTTTATGTGCATAAGATAAAAATAAAGCATTACCTCTGAAGATTGCTGTTCCTGGAATAATAATAGCTAGTATTTATTCAACACCTACTATGTGCTAGGAAAGCACTTTATATATAGAGATGCCTCTTGATTTATAATGGGGTTATGTCCCAATAAACCCATCGTAAGTTGAAAATATTAAGTCAGAATGCATTTAATACACCTAACTTACCAAACACCATAACTTAGCGTAGTAGCCTACCTTACAAGTGCTCAGAACGCTTAACATTAGCCTGTAGTTGGGCAAAATCACCTTGTGGCTGCTGCCCAGAATAAGAGAGTATTGTATCACATATTGCTAGCTCAGGAAAAGATCAAACATCAAAATTCAAAACTCCAAGTACAGTTTCTAAAGACTGCATATCGCTTTTGTGCTACCATAAAGTCGAAAAATCATTAAATCAAATCATTTTAAGGTGGGGACTGTCTATATTTACTCTTCATAATAACTCTACAAGGTAGCAACTATTATTATTCCCATTTTATAGATGAGAAAGAGAAAAAAATCTTTTCCTTTGAGTCTATCTTAAGAGAAAATATGAGAGTACAGTAGTTTCTGAACTTTAGACTACAAAACACAGTTTTTAAAGAAATAGTTTGCACAGCAATCTAGTACACCCACATATTATATAATAAAAGTTTGATCACATATTTACACTTCCTATAAAGGAAAAAGAGTAACATTAAAATCAAATATGATTTTAATATTTAAATATGAAATAAGAAAAAATCAAAATAAATACAAAACCAAGAAATATTTGGTGGTTGAAACCACCAAATTGATTTCACACTCCACTAATGGACTGCAATCTCATGCTTTGAAAATCACTGAAATAGAGACAAATTACTATATTACTATATTACTATAATGAAAACAGAAATGAATTTCATAGAGCTGTTCTTCAATACTGGATGAAGGGTAACAATGCACAATTCAATAAAAGTAATTTAATCAGGAGAAGCAAAACAATGTGGTCTAACTATACAACCTTTTAATCATCAGGCTTGATCTAAGGATTTAATTATACGTTAGAGCAAGAGTCCTCAACTAGAATACATGGAATATAGAGGGATCAGGAGGTCCCTGAACCTGAATATATGCATGTGTATGCATGTATTTTTTGGGCAAGAGTCCACAGTTTGCAGCAATTTTCAAAGGGGTTACTGCTTCAAAGAAAGTTTAGAACCATTACTCTAAAGAATGAATAAATTACATCTTCCAGAAATCTTTTAATGTTGTTTTCTCAAAAAAGTTTCAAATAAAAATTGGGCAGCAGATAGACAGTTCAAGGGTGTATTCTCTAGGGTGGGGTGGAAATCCTAGAACGTGGCTATTTCATATTCCCAAGTTAAAGACAGATGCACTTGGTATGACTGTCTAACTCAGGTCATACATCTAAATAGATAGCTGTAACAATTCTGCGTGAAAAACTGGTATAACATTTTTTAAGCTATTTAGGAAAGAGATGAGCTCTGAAAGACATGTAGAATAGATTTAGCCACATAGGATGGGCTATGTGGCTAAATCTATTCTAAGCTATTTAGGAAAGAGATGAGCTTTGAAAGACATGTAGAATAGATTTAGCCATCAGTAACTTTTAAAGCTCCTCAGGTAATTCCAATACATAGCCGAAGTTGAGGACTACATGCCCAAGGAAGAAAGTTACATTTTGTTCTCTTCTAGAAAATTAAAATTAATTTACTCCTTATTACTAAAGTCATACCTATAAAGTCTGTTAACATAAGGATGCCATTCATTATATACATAATTTTCTCTATAGTATATAGTTTATAAAGAAAATGATATAATATATAAAATTTAATATATTCTACTTTTCAGGTAAAAATTAATCAAAAATCCTGCCTAGGAAAGCAATATATGTCCAAAATAAAACTCACAGAATTTAAAACTGTCTTCAGGACATGTAATTTATTTTCTATCAGTACTACATTTAAAAAGACTGATAAAGTCTATGATGGGAGCAGAGTTCCAAAGGGACCTAATGCTTATTGGGTGCCCTGCAACAGGTTCTTTCACAAGCTTTGAAAAATTTCATCCACAAGTACAGTACAGGTAAGGTTTAAGTACAACTTAGTTTCATTTTCACAGGTATAGAAAGAGGCTCTTTGTGTAGTAAAGTGTCAGCACCAGGATTCAGGCTTGGGTATGACCATCTCCAAAACCCATTCCTTCAACAAGAAGTGTTTTCCATGCTAATTCTCTGGGGCCTAAATTTTTTAAAAGTTACCATTTAAACTATAATAGAAACAAACAAAAACTTTAAATGCCTAAAGGTGAAATATGCTAAAATTCGACTCATTAGAAGACATAAATGTGTTCACTGGAGCAGTCAAGTATTACTTTTGTTCAGAGCCTAGAATAAAGCTTTACCTGACACATTTAAGCTTACTTTCGTTTTTCAATTGTGTCATTGATAGAAAAAGATATCATTCTACAGGGATTTTTAAAAAAAGGCCTTTATATGTCTAAACCACATAAAATCTTACAAGCTACACAATACAGCAACACAGTGCTCAAATGCCATGAAAGTACAGGTGCATCTTTTCAGTATATTATTTCATCAAGATATAAGAGGAAGGAGTGCAATATCAAATGAGAAGGTCTATCTTAGACTTAATGTTCATTTAACATCTGGTTTTATTAGTTTTATGCTTGTCTTTTGTAAGAAATGCAAACAGGTTTAAATATTTTAATGGTTCTACACTGAAAAGCAATTTTTACTATTCTTTCAAGAGTCCAAATCAGTTAAAAAGCATTCTGATATTGAAAAACAAGCTTAATAAAACAACCTAGAATCTTCAACTAATTACCTAAGTGGAACTAAATTTGACACTATAAAATGGAAACAAAACAGAAATAAACTGGACATTAGGATACGATTATGACAATCATTCATATTGCCAATTTCAATTTTCTATGTTCACTAAAACTACCTTCATTCTCCTTACTAATTGGCTTTACAAGAGTTATAAATATGAATTTATAAGACATGAATAAAATGTCATTGTTTATATAGTTAGCTTGAAGAGTACTATTAAACAAATAGAAAATAGAAACAAATAGAAAACACCATATTACATAAATTAAGAGGAACAAGCATGAGTTAAGTCGCAGTCTTCAAATACAGTACACTTAGGAAAAGGATCTCAACCACTGCTTAACTGCTCTTTGCAAAGAGACTTAAGCAATGCTTTAAAAAAAACTTCACATTTCTTAGTTACATTGATTACAAGAGCTAGAATCTCATTTTCTTATACTAAGTATATGTGTGTGTATAGGTATCATTTAAAAAAAGAAAAGTAGCTTTTATCTAAAGGTTTTTCTTTTTGAATTTTCAAAAACATAAAACATATACTAAAAAGTGTCAAATTTCCTACTACCTACATTCCCTGAAACTAATCACAAAATCAGGACCAGTTTTCTGTGTTTCCAAAGTACCCTTTTTTTTTCTGGGAGGAGAGGGGTATTATAAAGTGTAATATGCACTGAGATGTATCACTTTCAGATATGAGAACTAATTTTCTCTAAAAATTAGCCATCTTATTTCAAGAAATAAACTACTGTATCAAAAGCAACTATTCTAAGTCAAATGTCTGATATGAAAGGAATTTCAGATGTTAAAATGTTAGCAAAAAAGTATAAAATGTAATGTTACATTAAAAGTAACTGATTTTTAAGTATTTCTATGCTTTTGCTTATGAAAGTCAACTTGTCTAACTGCAGGTATTAAGGCAGAAAATGTGTGATATTAGCCCCGATTTTCCTCTTAATTAGCCATGAATTTGGGCAAATTCCCTAATTTCTCAGATCTCATTTTCCAGGTAAATCAGGGACTAGCCAGATAATAAGAATTTCAGGATTAAAAGGGCCTTCTAGGTAATAGTCTAGCCCTGTCATTTTACAAATGTGGCAACAGAGGCCTAGAGATGTTAGGGAACTAGTCACAAATGCAAAATCAAACCTAATATCCAAATCCAGTACTTATGCCATGAAAACCTCTAAGTTTGAGAAAGTATTCTTTATATAGAAAGACAGCTACTGATTCATTACCAATAGTGGCATGAAGAAAATGAAAGCTCTTACTGCCTGGCCCTTTTGGGATCAGTAAATAGGCTGTCCATGTTACTGGACAGATTAAATATAAATCCAGTGTTTCTCTAAGCACTATTTGCTTTAATAACTAAGTTAATTATCATAGAAATTATATTATTAGCACTGTTATTAAACTTTTATTTAATATTAGAAATATTAAAAGTGAAAAGATGCCTAGAATCCACATTAATCAGATCTAACTTTTCTTGAAATTTTTATTGGTTCTTCAAGAATTTTAGTTTTAAATACTAAGCTCAATCAATATTGCATAATACATATAAAGCCAATGAGTACTTTAAAATAATAGTAAAGCAAATTTTCATTCTATAACCCATTAAAGAAATACATGCAACTCATACTATTCTAAGGATATAAATATATTTCTATCTGCATCAATAAGCTCAATAAACTTTAAAAAGTGAATATACTTTTGATCTTGAGATGAATACCCACTTTTGAGAATAACTAAACTTACTCTCTAACCAGAAATCCTATCAAAGCAAACTGACTAGAATTTATTAGTCATGAGGAATATATAACACCTCAAAGAAAAGAAAATCTAAGAAAATAAAATTTTGATGTTTCTTCCCTCTGCTTTTCTTTTAGGTGTTATGATCAAAGATATCTGATCCTAAGTTATATAAAGTTTGTAAATGAAAACAATTAAAAGCATACAACATCAAGCTGCCCAGGAACAAAGATTAAAATTCTGTAACATCAAAAAAACAACCCCTCCCCATATACCATAACTGTTAAAAACTTCAAAAGGTAAGTTAGGAAGGTATCTTAGTCTATATTTCTAAGTCAAGCAAAGTATAAATGCCCAGACTAATTAAGTGTTGGCAAAGCACTTTCATTCCCTAACATATGCACTTCTCACTACACCCTTTTGGGCAGAAATTATTATTCCCATTTTATAGACTCAAGAGAGTTTATATAATACCCATCCAAAGTTGTATGTTTTGTAAGTGTAAGATTTAGAACACAAGCCGAAATTTTATGAAGGGTGGATAAGTAAAAGCATAGCAACCATAAAGGAAACAGTATTTCTTAGGATAGTTGGGAAACCCACCCACTTAATGGAATGGCAGGTTTGTGCACTGTAGTTGGGATATAAAGATTGGAAAGATTCAGTGGAGTCCAATTTTATGGGCCCTAAATACAGACTCACAATTTTCTTCAACAAATAGTGAAAGCACCCAGAAATTTTTGAATAGGGTATGTTATGAGAAAGAAGAATTAAACCTGCAGCAAGGGAGAGAAAAACATTTATTGAACACCCATTAGCATGGTTCCATGCAATTTATATCATAAAAGGCTGGAGGAGATGAGAGGCACAACATGAGGCCTGATTTATAAAGTTAACTTAAAAAAAGCTCAATTCTATACTAAAAAAATATCATAATTCAGGGGCAAAAATATGACACAGTCTAATCAAAATTTATTATCTTACTAATAAGACAAAACAACACCGATGATCTAAACATCAGGGAGTATCCAATGTTTAAAAATAGCCTTACCTTAGATCAGGTGATTCGGCCCTCCCATATCGATCCTGCCACTTCCCAACGCTTGAATTGGCTTTTCTGGAGGCAGTACTTGTCTGAGACTGAGAAGAGGTGCTGTTTCTGGTGAGATAAATTTTCTATGTTTTTTCTTATATATTGTCTCTGACCCCCCTTGTTCTGTTTTTCTTCCTTGACATGCTTTTTCTAAAATCTTTCAGCATGTTCCTATAGTATCATTCTCAAGTCACATAAAATATTTGCTGTGGTACTAAGATTACTAGTGGTATTTAAATATAGATGTGTTATCGACATTTTATTAACTCTAAAATATTTTTAGAAATATTTTTCAACATAGACCGTATGATGTCAAAATGCAGAAATGAGAAAAGAACCAAGGGCTTACTTCAGGTTATAATATATTATCAAGAAATAAATTTCTATGCTTTTATAAATCAATAACATTAATTTCTGCAGTTTCACAAAACCTAACTTGAAATTTTGCTATTTCTTTCTCTATATTCTTCAATAATTGGTATAAGTCTTGTGAGGGTAACCAGTTAACAGGAACACTCTCATGTGCTTCATAAAAACCTACACTAAATATATATTTCATAAAAATTGCATTTAAAAATAATTTAACTCTTTCCAAGTAAAATTCTAAAAGAAAATTAATTTTATCCCTGGTGACATGCTCCACGAAAAGTTTAGCTATTTACACTCTGATCAATCCTTTAAGGAACTAATATGACACTCTAAAAAAAGTAAGAAAAAAAATATGTATCTGCTTATTTATGTAAAAAGAAACACAGGAAGAATAAACCAGAAACTAGATGAAATGAAACTGATTACTGACAGGAATGAAGGAAACAGGAAGAGTGACAAATCTGACTATACTTTTGGATAGCCTGGCTTTTGTGACATTAATTGTTCTATATATGCTAAAAAATAAGACAATAAGCATTGAGAAAAGAAATGCTAATATTGAATATAAACAGATGCAATGAATCAAATTACAATTAAATGATTAATATGACCACTCTGAAGGAAACTCAAACACAGTATTTTGGCTATATACCTCAGTCTCAAAAAATGGAAGAGAATTGCAAAGATATCTTCAACTCTAACGGGTTTTCTGTAATGGTAGATGTAGAAGTTCAAATCTATTTTAAGATGAAGCAAATTAGTATGTGTACTGAAGTTGATGAAAACGAGGTTATTACTGTCGGAAAAGGGAGATGCAATATGGAATAGGAAGTAAAAGAAAGAGGATGACTGCATGATTAAATTTTACAAACAGAATATACATATGGAAATTTCATATTGAAATTGCTTTTTTCCTAGCTCTGGGTTCTAAAAAGACCTAGAAATAGTTGATACCCCAATAGCAATGAGCATAACTAGGGCTAGGGTCTTGGTTTCTAATTACTGTTTCCCACTAAAAGGCATCAGGTGCCTTCAGGAAATGGCTGCTTTCAGGAAAGTATAAGATAAGCCTGGAACATCATGCCATAAAGAAATCCTCAAAAACAAAACAAAACAAAAAACAAAAACAAACAAACAAACCCAAAACAAAACATGAGGGAGACATGTCAAAAGATCACAGGAGCCAGTTTGAAGAAGATCCCATGGACCAAATTTGAGCATGAATATGAATTACAGTATATATTAATCATATATAGCTTATATACAGTATATACAGTTAAGCCATACTTATAAGCCACAGACACACTCTCTCTCTCTCTCTCTCTCTCACACACACACACACACACACACACACACACAAGAATCAATGAGTCTAACTGATAATAAATAAGTGGGGAAGATGGGAATGCTCATTTTTAAAGTAGAATGCCAACTAATAAATGTAAGAGAAATAAGTTAGATAATCACTATTTTGCAGCCATTACAGTAATAAATGATTAAAGCAAAAGTCATCAATAGATACTAAAAATTCTTGGTAAGTTCACAGAAAAACAAGATATTTATGTAGTCTCCTTACAGACTACTAATTAAATAAAAAGGAGTAAAGCAGTAACTTTGTAGTGCAGAAACCCAAAGGACACCATCAAAATAACTGACTGAAGTTATCATCACTAATAATGAGACAAAGTGACATCATGTACCTCCAAGCTGATGCACTGAGAAGGACACAACATCACTTATATAGTATTCCTATCCAAAAAGCAAAATCTGGATCTAGTAACAAGGAAACATCAATTAAATGACTGGACTGTACTTTTCAAAATTCAATGTCAACAAATACAAAGAATGTGTGAGCTGTCCCAGATAAAAGAAGGAGAAAGAGTTAATTGTCATGAATGATCCTGGACTGAATCCTAAAGCAAAAAGGAAAGGAAAGAAATTTGATAAAAGACATTACTGAAATAAATGACAAAATGTATGACTTGTATTATTAAAATACTGATCCATTATTAGATTCTCTGAGGATGATCATTGTGTCCTATGACTATGTAACAGAATACTCTAAGAATACTCTCATTCTTAGGAAATATATGCTGAAGTATTCAGGGGTAAATGGGCATGATGTCTACAATTAACATTCAAATGGTTCAGAAAGATATTTTTGAGAAATTGAATGCAAATATGACAAAATGTTAATAACTGGTGAATCTAGGTGAACAGTATATATAGATGTTCTTTATACTTTTCTTGAAACTCTATAAGTTTTCATTTTTTTATCAAAACAAAAAATTAAAAATATAATTGCAGGGGACACAACAGGAGCTTCTGAGAGTAACAGTAATACTGTTTATTGACCTATGTGCTAATTACATGGGTGTATTCAGCTTGTGAAAATTTATCAAGCTGTACATTCATGACATAATATAGAAACTTTTAAAGATTAAGCAAAACATTCTGATATATTAAATATTAACATTTTACCCAAGTATGCCAATTTGCTGGGCAGTACAAAAAATTAGAAACCCGGTATTTCTGAAAATATACAAAAAAAGTTCTGTGCAAAAATACCAACAGCCAATAACATTAATAAGGCAATCTAAGATTTTAAACAATGGAAATACAGTGGTTAGGTTAGCAGTACCACTAAATATCTGCTGTGCACCCCCTATTATGTCTTAAATGACACTGTCTCCTGTCTTCTCCTTAAAGTCAATAAAATTTTACTTTCAAAGATGTCTGATGTCCACAAAAATAAAAAATAGGAAAAACCCAAACATTACAAAATACTTCATAATCACCAAAAAGTATTCTTTTGATCAAGTGAAGATGAACTGAAGAAACAAACTTTTCTAATGAAAAATGGATACTGTTCTTTACCTCCAAAAGGGACAATACTGACATACTGGGTATGTTTCTATTGGTTGTAGTGGTAATTATCCTTTTCTTTTCTTTTTTTTTTTGTAGTAGCAGTGATGGAAATGCTAATTTTTCTGTGATTTCTTTACTTTCTTTTTACTGTTCCTTACCCACCATTGTCTTTCCTTTATCAGTCTCTCCTTAGACCTATGGTCCATTATTACAACCACTCCCTCAAGTACACTCTCACCTTCCTTGCCCCACTATCCACCTTTATCATATATGTGCCTGGTAAAACCTCAATCCCTGTCAAATCTAACACTAGCTCTCTTCATGAACACATGAATTCCTGACAAGGGCAAGAGAAACACACCCAAGAAAAGCAATTTATTTCAAATCCATGGCCATTATCCTCAAGAAAAGTGGGAAATGTAGTCCCTCTCCCTGGTCATCAATTTTTTACTTAACTAACTCATTTCCATCAGCACATAATTTGTAATAATCTCTCCCTCCAGGTATTGCCTTTCAATCCTATTCCTTTTACCTAGTCTATTCACCTCCAAATGATTATTTCAGACCTTCTCCTCTTTTCTTAAATATTCAACATTCCATTCCACTACTTCTACTCTAACCAGAAAGTCTGCATCCTATGCTGCTGGGAAAAATTGAAGCAATAAGAAGAGAATTTTCAGTTGTTCCCATCACCATTATCCACCCACTCACCTTCACCATATCCTGCATTGCCTCCTGTTACTATGAGTGAATTGTCCATGCTCCTTAAGGCTAAACCCTCCAACTTGCATATTACATCCCATCCACTCTGCCCTTCTTAAAAACACTGCTCTAACAACTGTCTCTTCTCACTTTCTGCATCATCAATTTCCCCTCTAGTAACTCTTTCTCCTAAGTAAACTAACATACTATAATGTCTTTCATTTTTAAAAATGCATTCTCTCGACCCCATATTTTCCTTCAGATTTTGTACCATTCCTCTGCTCCCCTCAAAACAAAAAATCCTCAACAAATTGTCCATATTTTCTCATTCTAATTCCTCTCTTCCTATTCTCTCCTAAATCCAAAAAGTCTAAAGATTTTTTTAATCTTCACCTTATACCACTGAAAATGATCCTTTTCAGAATCTTTGCATTTTAAAATCCAAAAGTCATTCTCAGTATTCTTCTTTTGGGCATCATCATTATTTGATGGCTAATCACTCTTCCTACTTTGAAATGCATTCTTTTGAAGATATACACTGGGTTTTCTTTCAATTTCAGTAGTCATTCTTCTCTACTAGTTTATCCTTATTTTTATGACCTGTAAGGAATGCCCCACATGTCTTCTTACCACTTCTCTATCAATACTCATCTCTTTTACAATCTAATTCAGTTTTACTTCATACTATTTAAACACTGATTACTCCCAAATTTGTAACTCCAGCCCATACCTTTCATCTCTACTCTAGATCCATATATCCACTTCCTACACAAATTATCCACTTGCATGTCTAATAGGCATCTCAATTGTATTATGTCCTCAACTGAATTCTTGGTCTTCTCCTTGCAACACTCCTATAGTTCTTTCCATCTCAGATATGAGATATACAAGATGAAACATATCCAGTATCTGACTACTTCTCACCATCTGCACCATTACCACCTTGGTCCAAGTTACTATTATCTCTTGCCTAGATAACTGTTACAACCTCCTAACTGGCCTCCCAGTTTCTGCCCTTAATACCTCTGTAGTCTGATCTTCATAAAGCAGTTAAATCGAGACTTTAAAAATCTAAAGCAGATTATTTCATTCCTGTGCTCAAAATTTAATGGTGACTCCCCAATTTATTTCACTCATAGGAAAGTCAAAGCCCTTAATAATGGCAGAACACGCTACATAATCTGGCCCAAGTTTAAAAAAAAAGGGGGGTGGGATGGGGCAAGGTACGGAAAACTGCTACTGATTTTTAAATAGTTTAATTATAATACCAAATATCCATAGAATACTTGTTTACCATGTATGTACCAATGTATGAAAATACTTTACATAAACTAATCCATTTAATATACATAACTACCTTGTAAGGGAAGTATTATTATGTTTTACGGATCAAGAAATGAAAGAACATTAGGGGATTTGACCAAGGACACACAGTTGGTATCAGAGTCAGACTCTGAAATCCAGCTCTAGAGTCCAAGCTCTTAACATTACACTAGAACACCATAAATTCAATGAATGAAAACTGACCTCTCTTAAATATGAACAAAACCAAAAGAATATTACATATTAAAAGGATCAATATTCCTCAGCTATCACAACTTCTTAGCCAAACATTTTATGAAACTACATTTAGTTTAAATGTTCATGACTAACAACTGTCAAGATGAAGAGATAGTCAAAATCCAATGGCTTTGTGACATTTAATTTTGGCTGAATGCTGCAAGAATCTTCATTTTAAGGCTAAAATACATGTTCCCACAAGGTCTCTTCCAGCATTTGTATATTATGAAATATAATCTCTTATAGCAATTCAAAATTGCATAATAACAAAAATGGGAAAACAGAAAATAAGTATAACTAACACAAAAATAAATGATCTGGCTAAGAACTAGTAATAGTTGGGTTACTGATCAGGTTCAGAGAAATAACTGATTCAAATCAACTTTATTAACCCAAAATTAAACTGCTGACATTAAACTTCTCCAGTCTTTATCTATTACTATTTTCCTGGTAACAGCAAACCATTTGTCATGTTTAAGTAAAAAGGACATTTGCCAGCATATTTGTCTCCAAAACTGGTGCCCTGTGGAACTCAAAGTTAGAACAAACCAAACCAAAGAAAGAAAAGAAAATGATTGGAATATGAAAGATTTCCCAGGCTGAAATTTCTACAATCTCTTTCACTAAAATCAGTAAAATATGTTTAGGCCAATAGATCTACATTTAAGGAAGTCCGATAATTCTTTATATAAGAATAAGCATAGAAAATAGCAAGGCCATTTTGTCACCACCTCTCCTGAATGTAAGTAAGACTGTTGTCTCTATATACACATATAATTATACACCATGCTTCATTTCTGCTTACCTAGATATTTTTAGATAGTACAGCACCCAGACAAGTTTTTCACAAAGAATTCATTTTGTACTAAAACAAAGAAGAATGTCCCAGTGTTTTGGTAGTATATTCAGAGCTTTTGTACTTCAAATAACACTAAGACATGGTGAAGATCCCAATGCCTTCAATAAATTGAGTACAATTGTCTAACTAACCTGCTTGGTGGGAGTCCAGCCTTGAACAAAGAAGGAGGAGAAGTAAATTCAGCTTTTGTAGATGGAAGCACTGTTTCCTTCTCTGAATTTCCAGTTCTTCCCTGCTGTACCTTAAAAAAAAGGGTTATTAGCTTGTTTAATTAAACAGAACACACAAACATAATACAGTAAAGATGTTAAAATAAATTTATAACATATGAAGAATGTTTCGATGCTGAATATTTAATAAAATTAAACTATTTTAGAATAAATAGCATTAGGTGAAAGATACCAAAGGTGGATTATGGGATCGAAGTGTTCCCAACTATTAAAAAGTTCATATTAATGTCATTTAAAAGTCCAATAAACTATAACTCTTTAGGACTTTCATAAAGCCCTCAGATCACCACACGTAAGTCCAAAATACCTGGTTTGGCTCCATGTTTCAGAGTTCAAAAAAGGTACCAAAGAAATTTCCCCATCTATGTTCACTACCCTTACCTAAGGAAACCACCAGTGTCTATTTTTGCCATTCTGATTATTTTCTAATCACACTGTGATTTGCTATAACACAAATATTAACAATCGGCTCCTGTACTTTCATACCATTTGTTTTCCCACCATTGACATTAGCACCATTCTGCCAAATCTGTATACCAGCAAGCTTAAAGTTAGTCATCTGTCTCCTTCACATCTCTTCTCCCTTTTTATATTCACATTCAAACCAATTATCTACTTACTCTATAATATCCCAGATTTGTTCATCCTTTCTGCTTCTATTAGATCATTCGAATATGGTACAGTCATATTCTTTTGGACTGGTGAAATATCTTCTTTATGTGCTTCTGCTTTTATACTTACCTTTCTATGTTAAAGTCACCATTAATTTATTAAATTTAAACAAATTTAATAAGTTCAAGTTGCCCTAGACTTGAATAACATCACACCATATTTTATGCCATATTTAAATTCTACTGCTCCATTCAGACTAAATTCAGCCTCAACCTCCTTCTCCATGAATCAAAGGCCAAGAGAATCTCAGATAACTTGACTCATATATTTCAAACCACTGATTCAATTCCAGAATCTCAAATAGTTATTAAGTGATTAAAAGAAACCCTTATATATTTGAGCCATTATAGTCATATCTCTTAATAGTGCCAAACCCAATCCCTAACTGGTGCCTCCATACAATTAGGGTTTAACACTGACATTTAATTTGAAAAAGCATTTCACTGTTTAAAAAAAAAAAATCCATTTAAAAGGCACTGATACTAATGAGGAATAATGAAGATAAGCATTAAGACAATGAAGATAGAAGGAAATGGATTTGATAGACACTTGACAGGTAAAACTGACAGGGGACATAAACATGATTCACTTATCAAGCATTTAAATATCTATTATGTACCAAGAGCTGAGACTACACAGAGAAATACAACAAAATCCCAGACCATAAGAAAAGACACACAACCAGAACAATACAATAAATAAAAAAAGTATCTATGGGAATAAAAGATGCTATGAGAAAAAGAAATTCATTACTCTTCCTGGGGAGGTCAGGAATACTCAAAAGAGATGACACTATGGATTCAACTGTTCCCCTGAGCTCCAGTAACTTATACACAACTTCTTACATCTAATAAGCATCTCAAATCTATCATGGCCAAAACAAAGCTACTGATTTCCCCACTATCCCCTAATTCAATCCTAAGTCTTACCACACAAGTAACACAAGTAGCACCATCACCTACCAAAACTAGTTTCTTATTAAAAATTTAAATTAACACACATCATTCCCCTGCCCAAAAATCTTTAATAGCTTCCTAATGCAAACAGAATAAAAGCTAAACTTCTTATAAAGTCCTGCAAAGCGCTCAGATCTTGTTTTCCTCTACTCTCCCCAACTTATCTCTACTATGCCCACAGTGGCCTTTATTCTTATATATTAAGATTAATATAACATAATATAATATAATATAATAATATATAAGTTCTTCCTTCATGAAGGCTTTTGCCCTCCTAACTAGATGTTCCTTCTGCTTGGTATATTCTCTCCCCAGATCTTCTTGTGGGTACTGCTTTCTAATCATTCAATATTGTTCAAATGTCTCCTTGGAGTGGACTTCTCTGACCATTCCCAAACAAACTCTATCATATTATCATTTTGTATTTTCTTCACAGAATTTCTCACTAATATCATTATCTGAAATTACCGTATTTATTATTGTATGTTTATTATCTGTTTGCTGCCACTGTAAAAGAATCTTTTGAAAACATGGATGGTGTTCAGTTCAAACCTGTATCCCAAGTACATAAAAATAGTGCCTGGCATGCATTAAGTGCTCAATATATATTTGTTATTTTTGTTATCTGATCAACTTTAGGACTCAGCTTAAATGTCACTTCTTCAAAAGTTTTCATAAAACGCAGTTTATAACTATATAATTTTTGCATGATTATCTAATTAATATCTATCTTTCCCATTAAGTTAGATAAACTCTAAGACCACAGAGTCTAAATATGTCTGTAATACTCACCTCCCCTCCCAAACCAACCTGAAACACTTCCTGGCACAGTCAAGGCTCAATTAAAAATTGGAAAGGGGGAAGGCAGGAGAGAAAGAGAAAAGGAAAAAATAGAGGGAAAAGAGTATAGATGAAAGATAAGTGAGAAAAGGTGTCAGGAAGACAAGGTACATTTTAAAACATGTAAAAATTGCTTGTGTTTCTTAAGTTTTTCTTTTCTCCTTAATTTTTTATAATATACTCTTTATATTAAACAATTCTCAAAATCCTCACCATTGTAGCAACTCCCCTAATCAATCTGCATTATCATTATCCACTTGTCTTCAGATGTCGTACTCAGGATTACACACTCTTCAGAACATACTGAGACTATTTTTTCACATACTTCAAGAAATGACTGTTAAGACACCATGACTGATTTTTTTACAAACAAATTCATGTCCAATCTTATATATCCAAACAAAAGCTGACTGAAGTCTGTATCCTTGAGAATCTAAATATTTACCCAAATTATGCTACCACTGTACCAAAACAAATTATTTTGTAAAATTTCCTTCAGCTGCCTCTCATAACATTATTTATAAAATTTTAACATTATAAACAAAATAATACCTAAAAAGATATTTGATAAGCAAATTGTGACATACCCAAATAATGGATTACACAACACTTTAGTGTTATTTATCAAAAAAGAAACTTGTAATAACCTAGGAAAACATTTACCCCATAATGTTAAGGTGAAAAAAGGAAAAGTAGAAAACCACATAAATTATTATAATTTTGTTTTAACCCAGAAGAACAAAAAGACTGGAAAAGCAACAAAATTTAAGACTTTGAAACAAACAGATGAAAAAATAGTAATTGACTGGGCAGACCAAAGAAACCTGAATCCTAAATCAGCATTGAGAAAGCAAAGACAACTGATTTTCATGGAAAGATCCCAGAAGATTCAGGAATTGACAACATGTGAATCAGCCAAGTATAAATACTGTAGGTAGAATACTGGACTGCCTTCTCTGAAAAAATCCGATTACCACAACAAAGAAAAAAAAAGTTAAAACAACCTAAAGATACTGAGATCAAGGACTGTGGAAAATCCTAGCCCCACAGTAAAGTCTACAGTCAGCAAGTTCTATTCATATGCGCTTCCAATCACCTTTTTGGTGGCCTACTCTCTCATGAATGAATGGCCAAGGATGAATAAATATGAGAAGAGTCAAAGACAGAAGCCAAAAACAACAAACTTAATACATCAACTTGAAGAAAATAGACTGCAGACTGCAGGAGAAGAAAATCTAACAGAAACAAACAACTTATTAATATTAACATCTTTTGAGAGAGAGAAGGGGTAATAAATACTATATCACTGCACGCATGAGCAAGAACAGGATGCTACAGTTAAATATTGAAGAAAAATCTTTCTTCTTGGCTATTAAAAAAATAACAGCAGAAATGAAATAATGAATAGAAGGGTTGAAAGGGTGAAGAAATCTCCCAGAGAACAGAAGACAAAGATACGGAATGGAACATAAGAGAGAAGACAATAAAATTAAAGGACCAGCATGAGAGGTCTAACATTTGAAAAGAAATTCAGAAAACAAAAGCAGAAGAAAAGTTAAAAAATAATAGAATATCCCAGAAGTGCTTCCAGATTAAGACGGTACAAATGAATGCTTGGTACAATGAATGACAACAGACCAAGACAGTTGTGAAATTTGAAAACACTGGTGATAAATACATACTTTCACAGAAGGAACAAATCATCTATGCATGTGTGCACATGTGTGTGCACAAATGGACATAAAAATATTTTAAGAGAAGGTTGTGGTCAGTTTTTCTTACATATATATGTTACCCATTCATTCTCACTAGTCATTCCTCTCTTGCTCCTCACCCCAAATTATTACACAACTGTTTTTGGACCCAATTGAGTGACTTTTATATTTATTATTAAACTTCATCTCCTTCCATTTCACTAACCCCCCCCCAAAAAAAACCCAAAATCTTATTTATACTGAGGTATATAAAAGGTTTTCAGAATGTCAACATGCTGATAATCATTGAGGCACTATAATAAACACATGGAGGTTGATTTGTACAATTCTACTTATTAGTATGTTTGAAAATTTACTCAATGAAAAGTAAAAAAAAAAGTTATTTTAAAGAGGCTGTCAGGTTGCTTGTCTTTCACCTAAAGATTAAAAAAGAAATCTTTGCAGTAGACAAGAAAAGTACTTAAATTACAATTCTTAAATCCATTCCTTTGTCCATTCAGCAGCATAAGTTCAGGTCCTTCTTTTGGTTCCCATAGCTTCCAATGTGGTCTCTTTTCTCCCCCTTAGATTTTATAGCTTAACCTGGTGCCAGTTCTTTTTCTAAAAACCAGATTTGCTCATGCTATTCTCCTACTCAAGAACTTTCAAATGGCTTTCTATTGCCAACACAAATGTCTGCAGGCTAGTTTAAGATTAAGGTCTTTCTCATCACGGCCCCATTTCTACCATTTCCAGGCTTCTCTCATATAGTATTTCATCCGCCCCAACTCTCCGTTCATGCTATTAGGTTTTGCTCATATCACTCTCTCTGACAACGGTGTTCTATACTTTCCTCTTTCCTACTAATGAAAATGCTTATCTTTCAGTTTTCACCTCCCATATGGATTCTTCTAGACTGTGAAGTATAGGATAACCCACTTTCTCTACTGAACTCTCTACAGCACTTTTTCAATACCATCAACATTCATCACAATATACCCTGGTCAGTTTATATACACATGTCATTCAAATCATAAGCTCTTTAAATACAGAAACCCTTAATACAGCATTTAATACAATGCTGGGCACAATGGAAATGCTCAGTTATATAACAAGAAAATTGGGGAAGGTTTTTTCCTTCTTTCTCGCCAATCCTAATAATTCAAGTTCAAATTGGTTACCATACACCATACACCACGGCCCAAACAGTGTTAACTTATAAATCACACTCCTGCTCACAAATAGGCAGTAACGCCTCCAACTCATACTCCTTGATTCAAGGCTTTCTAGAATTGAATAACATCCTACAAAGTCGTCTCTCTTACACTCCTTTCCAAAAAGAATTCTCTGATTCAATAAGGCTAATTTCTTAAATAATCTTCTCAACTTCTGCACAATTAAAACATTAGTTTCTTTGTCCAAGCTATTTCCTCAATCTACAACACTTTTTCTTCTCCACACTCTCAAGACTGATTAAAATGCATATACTTCTCTACTACTGAAGCTCACTTTAGACTTTAAAAAACAATATAAGAACCTGTATATAGCACCCATTGTAATTTCTAATCCCAAAGTAATTTCTTATTTTTCCAATTTCTACAGCATTCTAAAATATGCATTTTGGCACTTAATACCTAAGAAATTTACCTCTGCATAACTGGGATACCAATTATATCTAATTTGTTTGTATTCTCCAGAGTTGCAGAATACATAGCAAAATACAACTAATACTTCAAAGAATAATAATAGTCCCACAGAAATCTGAACAAGGATATTTCTTAAATATAAAGTAAACCTTTTCTGAAATTCAAAGGAAATCAAATTGGATCCTAAAAATATCTAATGCTCCCACACATATTTTGAGCATCATCAATAAAATATACCCTGTACACCACAATATAAAGAAAAAATGTGAGCCACACATATTAAAATACACACTCTACTTATAACAGATGAGTAATATTTAACCACGTTATCAAGGCAAGAAAAACCATTAGACTATACCCATCAAATCCAAGTCCTTATTTATTCAGAATCAAATAAATCAAAATGGAACAATGACCACCTCTCATGTAACCAAAAGAAACTTCAAAAATAATTTTTCAATACAGAGTACATATATTAAAAAAAACTCATTCACAATGGCTACCCTCAGTAAGAGACCAGCCCCTAGGAGTTTTTTTATTTTTAGAAGTGTACTGCAAAAAAGACAAAGTATACAGAAGCTGGAAGTCTACAAAGCAAATTCTCATTTCTTAGAAGAAAATACAAAGCACCACTGCAAATGAACTATTTCATCATCGACTTTTCTGTCTATTCATTGTAATCATGTATAATATATTCAATGCCTAAATAAGTAGATTATCACCAAAAAGAACCTGATGACCATTTAAAATAGAACAGGCATCATCTTGCATTTTTAGAATAGTTACAGCAGAACAAGAACCAAATACTTACCCAAAGGAGGATGTAAATTAAAATTAAATTCTCTATACAGAACTGTGTCCAGCAGAGCGGCCACATCTGCAGATATAGCACATGCATTGCATAAGGCAGTATTTTGGTGGACAGGGCTGCAGTCCCAAAATGGGCACAGAAAATTTCCTGACCACACAAGTTCCCTGAGTATACAAACCAATCTAAAGCCACTCCCAGTTTTCATGCCAATGTCATTCAACACGAAAATCAAGAATAAGGTAAAGAAAGAAGAGTATACAGTTGGGTTTCAAGGAGGTTGCTGTGCATTGCAGTAGTTATGAAAACCTATTATTCTTTGGACTAGGTTTTTGATCATAGGGAATAGAGAAGCCAAAGTCACACTTTATACCCAAGTGGTAGTACCAACCTGCAAATTCCTCACTATACCTTCTCCTTTTAAGTATTCGTTTAAAAAAAAAATCAATGGCTTTATCCTATTTTGTTGAGTCTTTCTTAGGGACTCTCAAAGAAAACTGATAATTCTTGAGATATCTTAAACTACACCAATAATTTCGGTGTCACAGATAATAAACCAATTCCTTACCATTTTAAAAAAGAAAATTAGGAAAAATAAGTCTCCAATTCCAATAAAGATTAGAGCATGACCTACAATGAGAGCTTGGCCTGTTGGCATGAAATTTCATATCCTACAAATAAATATATACTATGACTCAAAATCACAACATGTAGCAAGACCAGTTTCACTTGGCATTTGTTAGTATAACAGGCTACGAATTCACATATTTGCAAAAGTAGAGATAAAATAATAATCAGCAAATCTGTAAGTCACCAGGAAGCTGACGGTTTAGAAAAAGGTAGCTATTTCCATTTTAATCTCATCCCTTGAGTAGTGGTATGGGAGCAGACTCAAGAACAAAAAATGAGAGCAACCAAGGATAATTTACTAAAATTCACCTTAAAAAGATTGAATCTGCCATCTTGGATCTCTGCACCTGGTGTAACTTCCATAGTACAGTCTTCGGCCTAAGTTAAATAACATATTCCCCATTAAGATACCACATAATTTTTAATTGATAGGCCACATAAAGATAAACTAGCTGTAGCTAGTCTGTAACTTGAAACTAAGAACATCAAAAAATTATTAATATTAAACTCTGAAAGGGAAGGGGAAAAAACAAACATGGTAAAAAAGAATGGAATTTTTAAACTATCATATAGTGTTTAGCCACCTTTATAGGGAAAAAACGATTTATTTGGGAAAAAAAAAACTGGGACAGTAGAAAAGGCTGGGGTATTTTGGAACATTTACTAATTACCGTAATTTTATTTGTAGTAGAGGTAACTGGTATAACTTCAAGTCCCATTCGTATCCTCTTTTGTTTTTCACAGTACGCCTTCCAGGTATCTTCATTAAACCCATAATTAAAATAATCAGAAAGATCGGCACCTAAAGATAGAATACATTTTTAGTCTACAAATATTTCAACTCTATTTTTATATAGCACATAAAATATAATAAAATTGAAAACATAAATTTAGAGTTCTATTATTCTTATTCTTTAATTTTACCAGTTCTCCCAATTACCAGCATAAAATAACAGAACTATAAAAATTTTTGATGAAAATTACTTCCTTTAGAAATGCAGTATAATAAAACAGTATGCAACCCTACTTATATGTTAGGCCACCAGATTTAACAAAATAGGTCATTATTACTCTCATGTGCTTAAGACTACAAAATGACATTAAAAAATATTCTAAATTGATACCAAAAAATACTTTTCTAATGACTGTTTATACCAAAAATATTTGAAACTACTATAACATAAAATAATCTTACCAGGTTTACGCCATGGTTTATCTTCAAAAGAATCCAAATCTACCTCCAAGAGTGGAACTCCATTAATGCTTCCAGGTGCATCAAGGTCTACTCCTTTGACTTTCGTTCCTATTTTATAAAATAACAAAATGGTGAAGGAGCTACATTAATGAGCAAGAAACTGAGAGACACTACAGACACACATAAAACAATGACACCTTTTAATATTGCTAGCACTAAATATGGCAAAGGTTCCAAACAAAGCATTTGAGTAATGTTTGCTATAAATAAAAGGTGAAGTCAAACTGTATGGTGTAGCTATAAGATAAAATGAATAGAGATTAGGGACTTGCTTTTTATAATAAGGGATTCCTGTATCAATAGAAAGTTGCTAACTTCTATGTTTTAAATCACTTTTTTGTACAGTCTTTGAACTAAGAAAGATTTTTACCTTTTAAAGGGTTATAAAACAAACAAAAAAAAACACAATAGGAACCCTATGTGGCCTACGCAGCCTAAAATATTATCTAGCCCTTTACAGAAAGTTTGCCCACCTCTGTGATATATGGTCAAAACTAATATTTTTAATTGAGTTGTAACATCTATTACAATCTGTTTATGACTCATTCAGCTATATGCATTATTTTCCTATTGATGCAGCAGCAAATAAAAGTTTTACCTGTAGTTCCATAAACCCTTCCTCCTGTCTTGATGTTAAGATTTACAGGTGCTGTACCATAACTCCTAAAAACAAATAAAAATTATCCTGAGAAAGTAAACAAAATTAGCAACATGTTCGATGTGTACAAATTACACACCTACTAGTAACTGGATAAACTGACACTGACTCACAGTTTCGAAAATGTTTTTAACTAATTTTATGTCTGTCACTTGCTCAATAAAGATAAAAACAAATACTTTTTAAAAGTGTAACTTGTTTTCCATCTCAAAAACCTACCTGCCACTAACTCAATAACCCACTGTAATACATATCACAGAAAATTCAGCTGGGAAGGGAAGAACTGTCTACATGCTTTTTGTCTTCATTTTCTCACTTCCTAGTTATTCAACATATACAGCAATCCTGCAAAAATGAAATTTCTCCACCTTGTTATCAAATCCAGTGACCTCCTTTTAATCCTTCCTGCATTTGATATTGTTGATAAATCCTCTTTCAAATACCATGGAGTACATATGTTCATAAAATTCATGACATTCAAAATTAAATCTAGAGTGAAAACAGAACAATATTTGGTGGTGGTTGGTAGTTAATGATAGAAAACAAAAGAGAAGTTGCTTGAGTGCTAGTAATGTTCCATATCTTAATCTGGGTGGTGGTTACATGAATGTATACATTTAAAAAATTATTGAGCTGCATCTTTTTTCATGTAGCATAATATACATGTGATAGAGGGGGATAAAAAATCTATAGAGTCAGGCAGATTCAGGTTCAAATACAAGTTTTGTTAATTACTAATTTTTAGCAAGTCACTTAAGACCCCCCCTAAGCCTTATATAAATTTTCCGTTATATAAGAGTTTACATCCAGTTCCCTACTTTCTGTTTTCTTATATATGGGTACAAAATCAAATATATTAACCAAAATACTCATACATTACTGGTGAGGTTAGGAAGAAGGGGACAGAGGGGAGTAGGTAAGAAGATTCAATTTCCACAAAGCAAAAAGATATTAGGAAGACCTCAAGTTATAGAGTGTTTTCAATGATATATTTCCACATTATGTTATTTAATTTGGTTCTTTACCCTAACAATTTTAGCTAACTGAACTTGTGAAGATTCACTGCTTTTGGTCTGCCTAATAATTTCCATATTTTGGTGTCCAATGTACTAAATTTGTAAGACCTAGGTTACCTTTCACTTATGTTAGAATTACCATTTTTGTTTTCTGCTTAAAAAACAAGGATAAATGCAATAAATCATTCAAATAATTGTATAAAGTTCCACTGCTATAAATGCAACAACTATGAAGTAGCCCAAATTAAACTGTTACTGTCAAGCAGTACTATTATTACCAACTTGAAATGTTTAATTATCTCATTGACAAATTCATTTAATAAACACCTGAGCACCAACAATACATCATATATAGTTCTAGACTAAGGAGAGAAAATGAGGAGCTAGACAAATGTGGTTCCTGCCCTAAGATGCATACATTTCAACAATCTAAATTTAGCAGAGCAAAAGCATCTTTGGGGTAACTATATAAGATGTACAGAAGTTTTAACTGCTTGAAAGTTAAATGTAAGAGTGATGTCAGAAGCATAGCAGAGTAAGTGATCTCCCCGATCTCTCCCCTTGAAATTACAAATTAAAATTAAATATACAAAAATCAAGAACTATCTCTAAATGATCCTATTACAGAATTGCTAAAGGATAAAACAAAACAGTATTTATAAAAAGGCTTAGCCATAAGTTCAATAAATGAACTTCTTTGCTTCCCATCCAGCTACTTCCCTTTCCCTGATCTGCCTTTTCTTTTTAAAGCCTTTGTATTCCATGTGTGAAAAAAAAGCTCAGATAAAAGGAAAATTGCATTTAAGCAATTCTGATATCATCCTCTAGACCTCCACGAGGTCTCAGGCTTCTCTAGGTGCTAGATCTTACATACTTGTGTCTAAAAGAACTTTAAAATAAATGCATGAAAAAAATTTTTATTTTATTCTGCTCCTTTGACATTACCCATACATGGTAATACACTGTTATGTAGTCAATTAACTGCTCTAGAAACATCTACATCATTGAGTCCTTTATTTCCCTTTTTCATCCACAACTAGTTACCTATGTTATTTCTAGTACTCAAATATACTTTGTTTTCCCATCCATACCTATACTACTGCTGCCGGCTTAGTCTGAATTATCTCATGTGGATAATCACTTCAAATCTAATAACTAATTTGTATCTAGTCCATCTCAACTACTGTTGCTAGTTATTTTTCAAATAATCTGACTCGCCTAAAAACCTTCAAAGGTTCCATAATGACATAGTAAAACATCCTAACTCCTTAAGTAGTTTCAACCATCCTTTCTTATCTACCTTATCCTCCAGCCATATGGTTCCTTTAAGCTCTGCTTCCGTAACACCTAAGTAGTATCATCTGCCTAAATCATCAGTCCTCTTCCTTCCCTGTAAAGAATTATGCAAATTTAAATATTACTTTCTCTAAGATCTTCTCTTCAACACTTGTAGGCTTTTAGCAACTCTGTCAAAGCTTTCAAAATACTTTGTACAGGTTTCTACTCTAGCACTTAACACTGCACTGAAAGTATTTGCTCACATGTCCATCTTCCTCACTATTTTGGAAAATAAGGACTATTATTTTTCATATTCCCATCATTAATTAGGGCAGTGCCAAACAAACTGTCTTTAAAAAGTATTTGCTGAATGAACAGATGAATCTCACAGCTGCAACTACAAATCTTTTCTCTAAACGCAATAAAATATTGCTACCCTGATATGCTTTTCTTCATACCTTATTTAAATGAACTTTGTAAAAAAAAGTTACAAAAAAATGCTATTGTGTACTAACAATAAACTAGTTTAGTTTTGTACGTTGAACACAATTTTCAATTTAAATGTGCTTGTGAAAACAGTGTGCACAAAACAAATTTCACCAAATTTTATTTTTCTCACTGGCTTTCAGTTTTCAATAAATGTATTTTGAGATTTCAAGTTTAAAAAACCTTATATCCTTCAGAAAGATCTGTAACTTACTTCAAAATGTATTTAAAAATTAAAAAATGGACTGGTGAATGGGTGAAGGTATGGATAAAGGAAACATAGCAAAATGTAAATTGTATAACATAGGTTCACGCATCAATTCAATTCTTCCACTTTTTTGTATTTGAAAATTTTCATAATCAAATGTTGAGGAAAAAACATTCGAAAACAACTACATTTTTAACATGCAGTCTATTTAGTCAACAAACATCTACTGAATAGTTACTATACGTAAGGCAATATAAGGAATAGGAAAATTCATAAACCATGGTTTCTACTCTTAAGGAATTTAGAGTCTAAACATGATAAACATGTACAAACAACTAATTTCATGAAACTGGAAATTGCTATAAGAAATAAGTTCAGAAAAAGTACTGTGAGAGTCTATGTGTGTTTAGTATTTACATGCGATTTATACCAAAAAATTGGTCATATTAATAAAAGAAATTTACTTTCATTATTCTACACTTACAAATACAAATAATTTTATAATAGTATTTACTAAATATGCAATGATTATTATAGTGTTATATTACAGTGTTCCTTTTGTATAATGCAGATAGTAAAGGCCTATTAGCATAAAAGCCTACCAGCATTATATTATAAGCCCAACATTAATTACTTAAAGGAGATGAGGAAAATATCAAGTGTTATCTACTTCTAACATGATTAGTCTCCTTTCAACTCTGCTTCCTAAAAAGTTCCTAGGGTTTTAAAATTACACAGGCAGTCATTATTATAATGCGAAACTGACTATAACAATAACTGAATTACCTTTAAATTTCCTGAAATAACTTTTGAAAAAACAGCTCTACTAAAAAAATATTCAAAAGTATTTATGTATATATTGGTTGATTCAAGATAAGGTTGCTTAATAAACTATACACTACAATTAATAAAAAATTTACTTATGTTCCCAATGCACAAGTACATTATACACCCAGTCTTAAAAACATAGAAAAAACACTGACTCTTATTCTAACACCATAACAAAATCACCATCTGTACTTTAATATATTCCCTTCCAATATTTCCATAGGATTCTTTATGTGCTCTGTGAGTCAATGACAGTTCATTTACTTGATTCAGTTTTACCGTCTATAAAACATGAGACAATGTACTGGCCTAAAAAGTCTATAGAATAATTAACAACTTGAAACGCACATAATGAAAAGCAAAAAGAAATACTTTTGATACTTTTTATTGGTCAAAATATTAAAAACCTAAACTCAGGTTTGAACAAGTAATAAAATCAAAGAAAAATACAGATGTAAACAGCAATTTAAAGTTTTCTAATTTATTGTATTTATTGTACTCAATTCATTTATAAAAACATTTTAATTTCAGAAATCAAAAAACTGCTTTCAAATAATTTTACCTAATTATCTTTAAGAAATATTTTCATGGTGAATTCTCTTTTTATCATGATATAACTGACATATAAAACTGTATTAATTGTAGGTGTGCAACATAATGATTTGATATATGCTTAAATTGCAAAGTGATTACAATAAGTTTAGTCAACATACATAGCCACACAGTTAAAATATTTTTCTTGTGATGAGAACTTTTAAGATCTATTCTCTTAACAACTCGTGAAATTTTAACAATAGTTCTTTCATATTATGGTAAGATGGAAAAATGCAAAAACAATGAAACCAACAACTAATGGTGTGATATAGGCCCACTATTTTTGACTTAGTCATACAATTGTTTCTTAAAAATAACTTACCCATACTGTGGTGCTCCTGTTTTAATGTCTCCTATAGTGACATGAACATCATCCTCATCATCATCACTGTCACTATCACTATCATCTTCAGTCTCGGTCACTTTCTATACCAACATAAACAATTATAAAATACATTCAATAATCCATTTCAACATCTAATATGAATAACCGAAGAAGTAATCATATTGTGTTTAAGCTAGTTTTGCAGAAACAAAGCTCATAGCTCTACTTATTTCACCTCATTTATAACTTTTATATTTTACATGATAAAGAGATGAGAATGTTACATAAAACCTTATTTATCATTACCTTTTTATAAATAACACCTCATGTTTTTTTCTACTATTGATAACTTGCTCTTGCAAACAGGATCTATGACAGTTTACTAAGATATAGAGAAGATAAAAGATCTAAGAATAGTATTTGAGAAATTCTGGATAAAAAGAATATGAAATTAAGATGGAAACGATTTTAAGAGTCAGAGTTAAGTGCCAAATAGTTCTAAGGAGCATTCATTTACACCTAGAGGTGGCCTTGCATGCAAATGGTTGAGGGAATACGGCTTCTATGAGTAAAAATAGAGCCATTTACAAAGGTTTTGTTTTGGCTCTAAAAGGCTATAATAGTCACATAATAGTAAATAAAAGTCAACCACCTAGACAAAATACTTTTTGTATACAAATTCAAACTTGCAGAATAACAATTCCCTTTTTTTTTAATAGGATTAGGAATGTTAAAATAGTCAAAGGACTAAAGATAATGTTCACTACCACTACCCCTCAAAAAACATCACTTTTAACTGGCATGAGTTTAGATACTGTTACTTATACTAAAAAAAAATATTTGCTAAAAAACTATAGCAATCAAATGAGTTTCAGGACTCAATGTCTGCTTTGAAGATCAGGCTATGATTTATTTAGTTTATCTACCACACCATTCAGTTCCTTGAAAGAAACATCAAGCCTTTGCAGATGCCCTATTTCATCTGAAATCTCTTCTCACTACTTCTCATTGCTATACTTTTGATGGCAGCATATGAGGTAAGAAATATGAGGGGGCCAGATCAGGCAGGATACTGAAAGTCACATTAAATTTTGGCTTTTTTCCTAAGTGAACACAAAACTACTGATAAATATTTTAAACAGGGAAAAAACTAGATTTCAAAGCCTTGTGTTACCGGTTTAGGTACGCCATTTTCAGCAGTTTCATCTTCAATTCCAGATGGAGGATTAGCACTACAAATAACAAAAATAAGTACACATGCCCAGTATTACTTTTCAGAAGTACGAATAGAGTACACTAGTATTTTAAGCTATGTCTGACAGTTTCCTAAAATTATTGTCTCCACTGGATGGTAAGAAAATAGATGCTGAAAACTGTACCTGTTTTACTCTGCTATTCCCAATGCCTTGCATAAAATACGCACTCAACATTAGAAATAGAATGGAAGGAGGAGCAATTAGGAGGATCCCTTTATAAATTATATAAATGTCTAACCAATGTACTGTATACTTGAAACTAATTAAAATAAATTAATTTTTAAAGAATGGAATTGCCTCCACAATTTGTTAATGTCAAATTCAAATTTGCAATTTGATGGTGGGGTATAATTTTACATTTTTAATCTATGTATCACACAATCAATTTTATTTATCCTAAATCTTTACTGAACATCCACTATGTGTCAGGACTACTGTAACTGCCAAGAACTAGGTAACACAGTTTCCTCTTTTCAGATTTGTGGTATGATCACATTAATTCTTTTAGTATTCAATTAACATAAATGCTTCTTGGCTTTTTGTTTCGACAATCCTATTGGATGTATGTTCTTTGTTATATAATAAATAAATTTTAAGATAAAAAAAGTTTATCTTCATTTAAGACTGCTTTCTAATTTGATAATAATGACAGCTCCAGACTTAATTTTGATTCATTAAAGAACAAATTACTTTTATAAGACCAGTTAATACCTGATTTGCCCTGTTACAACAAAATTGATATATAACACTTATTCTCATATGTCTTATTCTCAAGTATATGGCCATTAGCCAACAAATAAAACTTCTGGTACTCTGTGTAATTGATTTCTTAAATTTTTAATAATTATAATTTCCATAGTGGGAATTTTAACCATTAACCTCACTTTATAGAAAAGGAAATACAAGTACAAAGCAACTAACAATTATTTAGTAGCATTTATAAAAAAAATTTAAAAAGTCCAGATGCTGATAGAGTGCAAAGATCTTTTCATTAGATTTCTGCTAATATCTCCTAAACTTTACTGTCTAAAGCAATTTTTATATAAATCAATTTATTCTCTTCAGTGGTATTTTATAATACAATCTCTAAATAAAGTAAAATGAAGGATAAAAACTGATACTTTATCTTAAATTTTCATTGTTCTACTGCTTGACCCAAGAAAACAAATATCCAACTATATTTCTTCAATATATTAACCGCCTGCTTAAATAAACTTATAGGTAGCTAGAAACAAGTTCAGCTTGTTTTTTATGGCACAAAATAGTATACTTAGCCAAAATATTGATAGATAAAACATGAGAGAACTGGAGACAATATAATGCAATGGTAAAGAAGAGGTTTTAACAATGAACCAGTCACAAAGAAACTCGTGAAAGCCTGAAGAGCAAGGACTCAGTTCAGTTAGGGCAATACAATGATGTACAATGATAGGACACTAAAAACCAGGTTTGGTGAAGCTCTCTATTCCCCAAAAGATTTTTTAAAGCTTTAATTCTCTATCATCATAAAATGCTAAAAACATGATAAAATTATAAGCTTTTTTCCAGAAAAATAAAATTTTAAGTGTAAATCTTTTCCATGGGATGAAATAAATTTAACAGCTCTCCAAATAAAGTTTTAATAAGGAATCTAAAGACATTTTGACAGTGATGCTCAGGAAAGGTAGGTGTCTCTCCAATAAATTTAATCAAGCTGTGAACTGAGGAATTAAAATGAAAGAATGTTAAATCATGCGCTCACTTCAGCAGCATATACTAAAAAAGAATGTTAAATCAGAAAATAAGCTTCAATTATACTTTGTTATCAATTCATTTCCTGACCAACTGAACAGGGCATGAAAAAAATATTTATTTTCATAACTATAAATTATACAAATCCTCACTTCGTGGCTGTGATTAGCATTATAATTGGATACCTAAATTTCAAAATTAAATGATAAAATTTCAGATGATAGAGCAATGAGTGAAAAAAAAGTCTTCCAATATAGGGGATAGTTTTAAGTGAAGAAGACAACTCTAATTTCAGCACCCCCTAAGCTATTTCTTTTTCCATTTCTCGATTCTTCCCTCCACTCACTTGTTTTTAAGTAACAGCTTTGACATATATCAATCTATTCACTTGAAGTGTAAAACTCAATGGTCTTTAGTATGTTTACAGAATAGTGCAACTATCACAGCTATCTAATTCCAGAATATTTTAATCACCCCAAAAAGAAACCTTGTATATATTAGTAGTCATTTAGCTCTGTACCCAGTCCTGGCAACCACTACTTTCTGTTTCTTTGGATTTACCTTTTCTGTCCATTTAATATAAATAGAATCATACAATATGCAGTCCTTTGTGACTGGCTTCTTTCATTTAGCATGTTTTCAAGGTTCACATATGTTGTAATACACAAGTACATTCTTTCTATTTACTGCCAAATAGCATTCCACTATATAAATACACATTTTATTTATCATTTGATGAACACCGGTTATTTCCTTTTTTGACTATTATAAGTAATACTGCTATGAATATTCATGTATAGCAGGCTCGAATACC